CTCAACCCCGTGGAGTTACCCCCAATACCCCATTCATGACCCCATTAACTCCGTTCCCCCTCATAACGCTAGAATCGAGTCTGGAGAAAGTACAGGTAATACGGCCGAGATACCACCGTTTTATCCGCGATGCCAAGCTCCCATAGGCGCGTCTAAGACGAGGGTTTATCACCTTGTCACACTCCCTCATTGGATTCTCGGATTGCCTTTTCTCGGGCTGGGAGAGAATCTGCAGATCAGCATATAATGAGTCCACAGCCGACCCATTTCTGACCATCATTAGACTTCTGAGACACAGCTCTCTTAACCCCCTTCATTATCTCTTATTCTCATCGTTGTATCAACAGCAAAAATGGGTATCTCTGAAAAGGAGGAGCCAGTCTCGGCTGCTGAGATTGAGACTCAGAAGCATACCATCAATCACCAGGCAGATCTCGACCACAAGGCTGAAATCGCCCAGTTCAAAGGCGATGCCATCGAGGCTGAAAATGCCGAGTTCAACATGGGCGTCCTTGAGGCCGTCCGTGCCTATCCAATGGCCACGCTCTGGGCTTTCATCATGTCATGCACCATTGTAAGTTCTCCTCATGGACCCTGTCCATCCCTTCTAAGCTGACAATATTAGATCATGGAGTCGTACTGTGTCTTCCTGATGGGCAACTTCATCGCCCTGCCCAAGTTCGCACAGGACTACGGCGTCTACAGCGCAAATGTCAACAAGTATGTCATCACTGGTCCGTGGCAGTCTGCCCTTCAGTGCTGCGGTCCCGTAGGTGCGCTTATTGGCGTGACTATTGCTGGCCCGATTACTAGTCGCATTGGGTACCGCTGGGCCACTATCGGAGGTCTGATGCTTCTCAATGCCTTTATCTTCGTCTTCTTCTTTGCCAATTCGCTTTCTGTTATGGTAGCTGCCCAGGTACTTGAGGGTATTCCATGGGGTATCTTCATCGCCAATGCCCCTGCGTATTGCAGTGAAATTGTCCCCATGAGACTGCGTGCTCCTGCAACCCAGATGTTGCAAATGTTCTGGGCTATCGGTTCTATCATCGTTAACGGCGTCGCGTATCATTACAACGGACTCGACGAGCAGGCAGCGTACAGGTACGTACTATATCCCCCTGCAATTTGAACTTACAAGTGAGGATTCATTCTGACAATTCATGTCTTTCAGGGTCCCCATTGCTCTTCAGTGGATGTTTCCGACCCCCCTTGCTATCCTGATCTTCCTCGCCCCCGAATCTCCATGGTGGCTCACCCGTCGCGGCCGATACAAAGATGCCGTCAAGGCCGTCGCCCGCCTTGGTCGCAGCACTGTGGTCAAGAACCATGAGGAGTCTGTTGCTATGATGCGTCGAACTATCGAGCTCGAAAAGTCCGAGAAGGAACCTAGCTACCTCGAGCTTTTCAAGGGAACCGATCGTTACCGAACCCTTATTGTGTGCGGTGTATATGCTGCCCAGAACTTGACAGGCAATCTAATTGCCAACCAGGCCACATATTTCTTCGAGCGTACGTATCCTTTCTTTGCTTCCCCACTTGGAAGAACCATGTCATGTACTGATGCATTTGATAGAGGCTGGTATGACTACAAACACTGCTTTTGCCCTCGGACTTATTACCTCTGCCCTGCAGATGATCTTTGTTATGCTGTCCTGGGTTCTGACTACCTACATTGGCCGACGCACCATCTACGTCTGGGGTTCATTCATCAACGTCTTGTTCCTCCTTGCCCTAGGTATTGCAGGCAGTGTTGGGAAGAGCAATGCAGCCTCATTGGCCCAGGCCTCCTTGGGTCTAATCGTATCTGTTCTCTTCACACTTGGCCCAGCTCCTGTTTCATACGCCATCATTGGCGAGACATCCGCCATCCGCCTCAGGCCTCTTACAACGGGTATCGGCCGTGCCAGTTACTACCTGGTTAATATTCCCTGCATCTTCTTGTCGAGCTATATGCTTAATCCCAAGGTATGTCTATTGTGCTCTTGCCTGCGTTTACTTAAAACTAATACTTTCCTGTAGGAAGCTGACCTCGGCGGAAGATGTGGCTATGTTTGGGCTGGAACAGGCTTCGTGTGCTTCCTTATGTCATGGATCTGGCTGCCTGAGTTCAAGGGTCGCTCGTACCGTGAGATTGATATCCTGTTCAACCGTCGCGTCCAGGCTCGCAAGTGGTCAAAGACTGTTATTGACCCCAATGATGATGAGTAGATGCTTCTAGGATAGACGAATAGGGGCCTACGATATAGTTTAATTACCTCGATATAGTTATACTAGATTGATTATCTTCTTGCAGTTTCTGTTTCTGTATACCATGCCACCTAGTATTCCGGATCGCTGATATCCACAGAGCATAGTCTCCTTAATCCATGCTATCCATTCATATCCTAAGACCTTCTGGGCTCATTCCGTTGTGCTATTGTGCTATCTTAAGCTTGGTGAGTAGAACAGCATTTAAATCCTCTGCAGCAACGCAATCACTGAAAAACCTTATTATCAACTCTCCTGGCTCTCTCAATATCACTTTCAGTTCTCAATATCACTCATGTTGCCCATGATACTGCCAACCTCCTTATCGGCAGTCCCCCACTCCTCCTCGATGACCTTAGATACCCATGGACCCCTCGGCTTTAGCTTAAACTTGAACGGCTTGGGCTCCGTCATAAACCAGACAACCTCCATCTCCATCTCATCTACCACTTCAGCAGGCTCGAAGTCAAACGCCCAGATCATCGTTACGACCTGGGCAAAGGTACCATCTACGGCGACACGTTTTCCAAGACAGCTTCGCCGACCGTGACCGAATACTGGCAACGGGAGTGAGGTCCTCAGTTCTCCTTGATTCTTAATGTCTGTACCCATGCTGTCACCATCTAGCCATCTTTCGGGAATGAATTCGTCTAGGCCGCCAAGTGACTGGTCAAACACAGCTTCGTCTCGACCGATAGACCAAGCATTCGTCAAGACCATTGCATTCTTGACGATGCTGATACCATTAAAGTAGTCTTGTTTGTCTGCCCGACGAGGCACACCTCCTGGGGAGATGGGTCGCCAACGCAGAAGCTCAGATATGATGGCATCAATGTAACTGAGGGAGGATCTGTCCGAGAAGCGAGGGAGTCGATCCCGGCCAACAACAGCATCCAGTAGGTCATGCGCTCGCTTCATAAACCTTTTGTTGCCCGTTGTTGCAGCGATGAACAACCAGAGTATTGTGCGAGTGCTAGTCTCTATACCACCTTGAACACTCGTCGCAAGCGTGAAAGCGAGATCAATGTCGGAAATCGGCTCTTTGGCGTATTTCGCTGCAAGGGAGCGTGCTTGTTTTGTTGCGTTCCATCCGGGATTGTCATCACCAAGGCTTAACAAGTGCAGATTGAGGTCTTTCTGCTCTTTGAATAACTCATCTGCAGCTTTGTGCCATGGTGAAATTACTGCTGGGAGATTGGCAAGGAACGGGAAGATATCGGGTAGGCCAGGCTTCGACGCATACGAGGTGACCTTAGCCTGTGTCTCACGGACTCGTTGGTAAAGTGGATCATCGAGAGTGGGAACCCGAACGCCATAGTGCAACGCGAGAATGATACTCGCTTGTGCGCGCTCGAGGAAAGGGAAGACGTCGTTGCTGGCAATGACCAATGATTTTTGTTCGCTTAGTTGGACAAGGTGCTTGACGAGCTGCTTGGCTTCGAGTTCCATGACCGGCTGATAGCGCGGAGCAGCGATACCACCGAGCGACGGGGACAAGATGCGATGATGAAGTTTCAAATGCGCATCCATGTCATGCATCAGCGTGAACCGTGACTTTCCTGGCCCAGCGCCTGTAATCATCTCCATGCCCACGGACCTTGGACGATTGCTATACCAAGCGCCCCTCTTGCCCAGTAGCTCTGTCGCTGCCTCGGCTGTATTGATAACAACAACTGGCACTATACCGAACAGTTTAGACGTTGCGATAGCCCCATTCTCTTTCACCCAATCATCCCATCGCAGAAGTGGCCTCTCGATCGGTGAGCTGTGGATGGCGCTGATGATGGGTAGTTTGAGGGGCCTCTTCCTGTATTTCCTAGTTGGTGACGACAAGTAAAATAGCGCTGCACCGGCAACAATTCCGAGCACCAAAAGTAATATTGAAGGAACTGCCATATTGACTGGTGATCAATGTTTGTCTAAATTTGCCAGCAATACTCGCCAGTATCTTAAACCTCTCACAGGCCAAGACAATCCCCGCACGGGGTTACTTCCAGATTCAGGTATCCTCCGCAAATATTACTATCAGCTTGCATTGTGCTATCTAATCCGATAAGACGTCTAGTCCAGTGGTCGAGGCATTATCGAGAAGAGAATTGTTATGTCATCTTGGGCTCTGCAGTGAAGTCAAGACAACCGGCCTTTACATACTCTGTTATTTAGACCGGCAGAGTCTGAAAAGCTGGGTTGGAGAGATAATACCAGAGAATTGATTGTCGTCTGCACGCCAAGCTACATGTGACAGCGCTATGACAGTAGACTCGTCATTGTTTCCGAGAAGCGAGAACCGTGCTATTGACGCTTGGGTGCATTACTCCTTCACCTGAACTCTGGTGCACGGGCATACAGCAACTGATTCTACTAAAAAGAAGTCGTTACACCTTCTTCTTCTAGAGGCATACTCCACTGTGGCAGTCCTGAATAGTGATATGAATGTATGTTTGAAACATCCTGGCTGTTGATCATGACAGCTGAACCTGGCAGTCCTGACTCTCAAGGTAAGGAGCCTTCCCGATTGGGAATAGTTATAGAAACATGTCCAAGCACCGCGTTTCAGAACACGGTTTCTCAGGACACGCATCTAAGTATAGGGCGACGCTAAAGGTATTCTGGAAGAGCAGTCTCTTCGAGCATGTGAGATTCTGCGTCGATTAGACTCTGAAATATATATATGGGCGTGATGTCTAACAATTAGTTACCAGCATCCTCATAGTCATCTCATCTCTTCATCGCTCGTTACCTCTTTCAACATGCTGACCGCCTTGTTTCTGTCTGCCCTGGCCTGGAGCCGAATGGCAAATGCCCATGGAACCATCACCAGAGTGGTTGGCGCAAATGGTGTTGTTATGCCCGGGCTTACCAGTAAGTACATTTCTAGAACCTTGGAACTGGTGCTAATAGCTAGCAGTCCTTGATGGAACACCCCGGTCTTCAACCTCTGCTGCTTCCGGAGCCCAGGTTGATACCAGCGTAATCCGTGACCCCGAACTTGCTACTAGCAAGGCCTCTGCACTTGGTCGAACTAGTAAAGGCCCAGTTGACGGCACCCGCGTCATCGAGGCGTTCATGAATGGTCTCAAGGGCCGGTCCCTTGCTGACACTATCCTTGGGGGAGGTGAAGAAGGTACAGTGGCATGGCAAGCAACGAATGGTTGTTGACAGCTGACACTCTATAGCGACGAGAGAAGCCGTATCCTTTGTTACCGGTAACGCTGGAGCAGTTGTAAATGGTGTGCTTCTGCCAATATGCTCTTTTTCGGGTTTTCAGCAACTGACCTATCTCAGGCGTGCAAGACGGGATTGAAAGCTCCCCAGTTGGTGGCTTGGCCCTAGGTATGTCGACATAAACACTTGGCAACGTGAATTATATGCTGATCGACAGTAGGAGCTGAGCATGGAGTCAATGGCCTTTTGGATGACTTCTTCCAAACCGCAAAAGGCGTGCCCTCTCCTCGTGGATACATCGAAGACGGCGTCCAGAATTCTACTGGAGTTGGCGCTAAGTCCGGGCTGCCTACCACTGCATCCGACGGAACTCTCAAGCTCATCTACCATCAGGTTCGTGGCCATGACCTTCATTTACGATTCATATTGACTCTTTACCTTTCAGGTCAACGAGGACGGTGCTGGTCCCTTGCTAGTAGACATAGACTTCACTTCAGGAGGGACTGACCCGAAAGCTTTTAAGTCCGCTGAAGTGGTTCAGAACATTATTGGCGTATTAGGCTTTTCGACGGTAAGCTCGACTGACTTTCCGGTCGTTGTGAAAGTGCCTACTGGAAAGGTTTGCACTGGGAAGGTAGCTGGAGTTTCTGGGGTTTGTATTGTAAGGGTACGAAACAGTGCTACTGCTGGTCCCTTTGGAGGCGCCGGTGCATTCACTCATAACCCAGAGGCTGTGAAGGGGAAGAAGACCAGCGCCAAGTTCCGCCACCGTCATGTCTAATCTGCCAGGTTGGCGTGCTCTGGGACTACCTCGCGCTATGTCCTTGTGGCTAGCTTCTTGAAAGGCTGAACCCATTAAGAAACCTATAATTATACCTTTCTAGTTATTTTCTATACTACAGCATATTCATACTCAAGTATTAACAGCAGGAACGGGGCCTGTTCCTGTTTTTGACTCTTAGTAGCAGACGCGAAACGGGGCTACGCCGATGGAGCTTGTGGCAACTGAAGCTTTAGAAAGAGCTTCCTGAATCACGGCGCCAGCGAGGACGATTTCCCCACCACTGGGTAGGCCTTTAAGCCAAAGACGAGATCCTGAATTGCAAGAACCATTGCTGCAGATCATCCGATTCAAGAAGCCAGGTATCAGTTGTTGGCTGGCTCCACTTGATGCTCTGGTCTAGATTACTTTGCGGGTTGCTGTCGGGGCTCATAAAAAAACCCAAGATCGTTCTCTTTTGGTTGTCGAGTAAAATGCGAGTCCCAACATCAACCTTTTCTAGCGTATTCCTCTGCACCTTATCTGTCTCGTCATGATGCTTAGCCTGCTTTGATAGTAGTAGCTGAAGTTGACGCATCATATCGGCCGATGCAGCAAGGGAAATGGTCTCTTTATATCGTGAGATATCTGCAATGGGTGTTTAGTTTCGGATACTGAGAGGGGCCATTTCAATTTTCGCACTAGACCTTGCCACTTCAAAGGATTGTTGAAGTCATTCACTGCCTTTGTGATTCTTTTTCGTATTGTCTCAAATGTACGCTCGCATTGCGCAAGGTGTTCCACTCTCAAGGCGGACTCAAAGACCTGACCTTGGGCTTCGAGATCGCAAGCGAGTGCTTGTAGCTTCCGCATAACGGTTGAGAATGAATTGATCTCCTCGTTTAGGCGATGTACTTCATCCTCCGCGCCTGACGCGGTTCGACTGAGCTTGAAGGTGTAGCGAAATACGGCGTCTGCAAGGCTGATGATGCCAGTGATGCTAGCAGCGATTGAGATAGGGTCGGCCATGGTGGCTGTAATGGACTACTGGGAGATAGAAATGAAGCACTCGAGATGAAGGAGAAAGGATTAGGGTTGCTGGTCAGCCTTAACAGGTAAGCGCTGGGTTGTGCGGAAACAGCTAAAGACAGCTTAGCGCTAGTCCATTAACTATCTAGTGCCTCAATTCCACTGTTCCGTGGGGTGCGGAGTAGAACTGGGGAGAGATCGGAATAATCTCCGCGGCCCTGTGAGTTAGTCTGTATCGATGGGACCGTTGTGTTATTAAGCCCTCCCCTTCTGATTATATCGCTCAGTCTTAAGGATCGTGTTAAATGGAATAATAACGGCTGAAGGATTCTCCCTGCAGCTACTGTAAAAATCCAAGACACGGCACTATTGTCTATATATATATAAACATTTCAGCATGGCAACCACGAATCTCCAGCCTGATACTATGAAATCTGTATATCCCACCATCGATGCCTCGACTACCTTGCAGCAAAGCGCTAAGGGCAAGGTAGTGATGATTACCGGAGCTGGCCGTGGTATGAGGAAATCTGCCTTTAGCCTGCATCCTTAAGTGAGCATAGACTAATCCCTTCTCTAAACATTCTAGGTATCGGACAAGCCATTGCAATCGCGTTTGCCCAGGCCTCGGCAGCTAAACTTATCCTGACCGCCCTTGAGGAGTCAGAGCTGGAAGAGAGTCGACAGAAAGTCCAGGAGATCAAACCGGACATCCAAGTGTTCTCGCGCGCGCTTGACGTCCGAAGCAACGCGGATGTGGACACCTTCGTCTCAGAAGCCGCTGCTTGGGCCGGGAATCGCATCGATGTTCTCTGTTGCAATGCCGGCATAAGCCCGCCCCTAGTGCCCATCGCGAGTGGCGATCCTGATCGATGGTGGATGGGCCTTGAGGTCAACCTCAAGGGCGTCTACCTCTTTTCGCGCCACGTCTTGCCTATCATGCTGGCCCAGCGGGCCGGCCAGATTATCATCACGGCGTCTCGGGCAGCGACACGTGCAGACGACAAGATGTCCAGCTACCAGATATCTAAGCTGGCTGCCACGCGCCTCTGCGAATGCATCCACAAGGAGAACCACGAAATGGGCATTCGATGTTTTGCCACCCACCCGGGGGGTATTGTCACGCGCTTGCTGACAGACTTGGAGACCAAAGAGACCGAACCGTGGGCGCCCGAGGCAGTCAAGATGATCCGGCCCAACTTGCGCGAGGAGATGTCCCTACCAGGTAACTCGTGTGTGCTTCTCGCATCAGGGCAGGTGGACTTTCTGAGCGGGAGATATGTAGACATGACGATAAGTTTCGACGATCTTATACGAGAGAAGGAGGCAATTGAGGACCATGACCTGTTCAAAATCGGGGTTGGGCTTAATTGGTTGTCGTCGGGGGGTGTTGTCCCATTCTAGAAGAACATATCAATCCAAAGACTGTATCAACAGTTGGTCAGCACATTCTTCTTGCCCGTGAGTCTAGAGCAATAATCGGTCCCTAGGGCTTAGGATGGCATTCCACAACTAGGCTCTGCAGTGTTCTTGCGCGGAACGGGAAGCTTTATTTACTCCTTGCTGCTTTAATATTATTGGACCTAAAACTATGAGATGCAGCTTCAGATTTCTATGGAGGCAAACACTATTTCTTAACTACAGTCTTTCATCAAATAAAGGTCTAATACATATAGTCTTATCTTCTTGAGAACTCAAGGCTGTATACCAGAAGTGCCGTCTAGTCCTGGAGTCATGGCAGATGTTAAGTTACTCAGCTCCCCAAAACAACCAAGGCGGCGACTCAACAGCTACCCCTTCCTTTGGAACCCCGTTGCCCAATGAGGCGTACTTGTTGTCGAGGCTGGCCCAGACAAAGTCAAAGTCCTCCCAACGAACCAGCGACGTGGTCTGAATGTAATGAGGTATAGTGCCGGGCCAGGGAATGAAAACTTTGCCCTTTGAGTTCTTGTCTGTTGCATCACCATACACATTAGCGACCTTCTGCTGAGATGAGATATACGTAGCAGACTAACACCAAGACTTGCAAGTCCCACTGAACGCCATAGCCCGCAGTTGTCGCTGGGCCCATTTATTGAAATCTGTCTGAGCCGATTCTTTCACGACGATAGATTTCAGGTTGTCTGCTTGAAGTCGGTCAAGCAGTCGAAGGATGTATTTACTTGTAGCTTCTATACCAGGAAAGGCAGATCCGATTACCGGAGCAATGGGTGGATTGAACACTGTTGCTGTATGTTAATTCTCATACACCTTGATCAAATCCTCTATGCCACAGCTACGGTGCGCTCGAGGCGTCCGCACCTCAGAGAGAGAGTGAAGAGGAGTCTGTCTTACCGAATAAGTTAGGAAACTGAGCGACAACGGCGCCCATGTATGACTCAGTGGGCTTATCTTTTCCCCAGTTCTCTGACAAGGAGTATCCATTCCGTCCCGTGGTTGGAAACCGTGGCTCATAAGACGTATTAAAGCCAGTAGCACAGACAATTACATCGAGTTCTGTAACGGTGCCTGTCTCGTCGACAATTCCATCTTCAGACACGCGGACGATGTGATCCGAGATTACAGTCACATTACTTTGTTGTATAGCGTTCAGGTAGTGGTCTCCGGGCGTGAAGCGACGACAGCCAATCTCGAACTTAGGCAGCAGTGCCTCCATCAACTGGGGATCGTGTATCATGTTCGTCATGTGCTCGAGTGTTGTTCGTTCTAGCTCAGCCTGGGCAATGCTTCCCGACCAGAGAGCCTCGAACCCGCCAGCGAGTGTCTTTTCCAGCCGTTGGCGATATTCAAGGTAGTAATCAGGGTCGTTCTCAAATCGCTCCAAGTCCTCGGCTGAGTCTGCCTAACAATTAGCATTGGAAAGCATCATGCTCTTGAAGCGAAGAGGCCTACAATCCTTCTGGACAGCACCGTCGGAGAAGAGATGGGGTATCATCCAGGATGCGGTACGGAAATAATTAACAAGCTTCTTGGCGACTAGAGTAGCCAATAGGCATCAGCTAACATCATTTGCAGATAGGCTTTTGTCAACTTTACCGGGCTGGAGTGCTGCAACGCACTGGACTGCGCTAGCCCCGTTTCCGATCACCGCGATGCGCTTGCCAGTCAGATCAACGGTTTCATCCCAGTTTGCAGTATGCATCAGCCTGCCACTGAACGTTGACAAGCCCTCGATATCGGGGAACTTGCACTTGTTTAGAGTGCCAAGGCCCTTGACAAGGACATCACACTCCCTTATGATGGTGACAGGACTCCCGAATCCATCGTTCGTCTCCAGTTCGACGCGCCAGGTAGACGACTTTTCTTGCCATTGGGCAGAGACGGCGCGGTGGTTGAAGTGCATATATTTTCGCAACCCATGCTTGTCGACTACATCGTTAAGGTACTGCCTAATTTCTGGCGCGGGCGCATAGAACTTGGACCATCGCGGGTTAGGAGCCCACGAAAATTGGTAGGTATGGGCAGGAACATCACATGCACAACTATTTCTCATGGTGAGCTGCGGAATCATTGCTGTTGTCATCATTCCTTACCCTGGATATCGGTTCTCATACCAGGTGCCGCCCAATTCTGGGTTCTTTTCGTAGACGTCCAGCTCTACATTTTCCATCCGTATGTCTACATCATGAGCAAATTGGATTCCCGAGAGCCTGGTCGTTATAATAGCAAGTAGTTAGCATTCCTGCATCCGAACTTTGGCGGTAGTGACTGACCCAGCGCCGAGCATGACGATCTTCAGCTTTCTCTTGAGGAATGCTGTTCCTGGCATTCCTCCTGGAGTGCCCTTATCGGCGCCATTTTCCATTGCGGAATGCGACAGAACCATTGTGGTGGTATATTGATGACTTGAGTGGTAAACAGGTGTTATGTTTATACAAGAGAAGAACTAAGTCCTAGATATGGCATCAAATAGGACCCCGACAAGCATACACTTTTGATCTGTTGGTACCTATATCAAGCATGTTTCTTTGTCCGGGGATACTCTGCTTCTCGGCCTAGTTCTCAGCCTGCCATTCCGTGGGGCTCCACGGTCAAAATACCCCCCACGGAGTATTCTTCCCCGTCAACCTAGTAGTGCCGTACTGATTATCGTGACCTTGTCTTAAAATGTCATTGATATTAGCTGTACGGCCATCGGAACATGTTTACATTTCCACGGCTTGGAAAGTGGCTGGCTTCCGGCTTCCCATCCTAGTTATTGGAAGGTCATGAGACGAGCTGCTCGCTTGTGTCTCCCTCATGCTATTTAACTCACCTGCGGAGCATATCAGAACTCTAGAGATTATACTTTTCTCCATAACCCGTCAATCTTGCAGCTGTAGGTTCTTTACCTTGTCACTATGTTCGACGCCCGCACGGGACACGATCTACAGGCGCTAGTTAATATTAGTTCCAAAACCCGGGGTAACTTGGTGGGGAATTAGGCCCCGTGACGGGTGTCTGATGCATATTAGGCCTAGCCAGTATGCTGTCTTTTGGAGGCTGGTGCTATTATTGCCCATTACTTCGTGGGACAAATCCGTGGAGAGACTGCTGCCGCCGATCCGACCTATCCCCGATCCTATCCTCCTCCAAGCCCCACGGAAGTCAGCGTTCCAGATCCTAGACATGGGCATCAAGGCCTCACAAGCGCATCTGAACCTTGGTTAGTAAGTCGCGAAAGTATAAGTATTACCAGTGCAACGCTCGAATTATTCCATTACCATCTAGACACAGGGTTAGACGAGCTACGTCTGCAGTTTTGAATATCCCAGATACGGATACTAGGCTCGCTCAACTAAGATGCGTCTTAAACATCCAGAAACATCAATGACGGACAATGTGGCTGATGAAGTTGAACAAGTGGAACATGCCACTAATCGACCAACACAGCCAGGCGTCGTAACCACAGACCCATTGGTATGTATGAGCGACGGCCCCTCTGCCGACCATCATCGTTTCCATGTTCATTGCTGACTGCTCACCTAAAGACCTGGTCCAAGTGGATGAAGATCGGTATCACGCTGAACATCTGCGCTAATGCCTTCCTAAACAATGTCTGCGCTGCCGGTCTTGTCCCAATTCTCGGCCCCGTATCCGCCGAGTTTGGCATCCCAATCACCATCGCCTCGTATGTTATGTCCTACAATGTGCTCGCCCAAGGTCTCAGCAACTTGATCTGGGTTCCAACCATGCTGTGCTTCGGCAAGCGGTGGGTGATCCTGGCCTCCATGACACTTCTCTTGCCGTGCATCGCATGGGCAGCTGTATCAACTAGCTACGAGTCACTCCTGGGAGCGCGCGTGCTCGGCGGCTTTGCGTCTGGAGCTTCTGAGACGTTTGCGCCCGTCATTATCGGCGACATTTGGTACGAACACGATCTGGCCACAGCCCTCGGCTTCTTTGCTCTATGTACCTTGGCTGGTGCCTGTTTGGGCCAGGCAGCGTTAGGATACGTGACGGAGGATGTGGGCTGGCGATGGGCATTTTGGGTCACGTTCATTGCCTGCGGCCTGAATTTGTTCACCATGTTTCTGTGGCTTCCTGAGACAACCTTTCAGCGCGGTCTCAGCGTAGGCGATACCGCTGGCGACTTGGAGCGGAGCGAAAAGCAGCGCAAGGAACCCATCAGCGCGAATCTCGGGGCACCAGATTCTGGCATGCATGTCCAGGGCAGTTCCTCGGAGCCGTTAACATCCATGCGGCCCAACTTGTGGTTTATCCGCCACCCTCAAGTCGACTACAGTGCCAACTGGTTTATATACGCCGTTCGACCCTTTTCCTTCGTTCTGGCGCCAACCGTACTCTGGGCTTCCGTGGCCTACGGTGTGGCGGCGGGCGGCTTTACATCCATCGGCGTGTGCATTCCGCAGCTCCTAGGGGCGCCACCATACAACTACAATTCCGCTACTCAGGGCCTTTTCAGTCTATGCTCGTTTGTTGGTGTAATCCTGGGCGGCACAGTCGGGTCTAGGCTGGTCGACATTGTTAATGCAAGGATTGAGAAGCGTCGCTCTGAACACGGCCAGAGCCACAAGCCTGAGGAACGCCTGATCATGATTGTAGTCCCCTTCTTCACTGTTACCACTGGCCTGGTGTTGTACGGAGTGGCCGTGGATCACCAGCTATCTTGGATCGGCCCTGCTTTTGGGTACGGGATACACTCATTTGGCTTCGCAGTTCTTGCAGGTATTACGTTCAGCTACGCAGTCGACTCGTATCTTGTGCGAAGTGGCGAGGTGATGGTGTTCAACAATACTATACGGGCCTTGTTATCGTTCGGCTTTGCGCATTTCACACCTAATTTCTTGAACCAGGTCGGAGCCGGTGTCGCATACTCGGTGTTGGCGGCCGTTATCTGGGGTCTTCTGTTGTTTGCGATTCCGGTGTTCTTCTTCGGCCCAAAGTTGAGAGATCTCACCAATCGCTACGTCTGAATATATCTGTATACATAGGTCGCGCGAGAATAAATTTTATTGAACCGTAATGAGTCAGAAAGCATATTGTAAACGCGAGATAAGCTCAAATTAGGAGCATAGCACTGAGATGTATTAAACAAGACTTTGGTTTCCATTGATGGCGGTTGACTCAGTCAAGATGGTGTATTCTTACCCTTATAAGTGCGTGGATAGATCGTCTCGGACATACAGGATGTTGCAAAGAAATCTTTATTTTAACTATTAGACCCAAGAAACTGCAGAAAGACCACTGCTACCATGCGATCTCCCTGACTGAAACAGATTCCACAATTGCTCGTAATACCTCCTAGATTAACTAACATTAAGAACTCGCTACATAGGAAGCATCAAGCTTGCCAGCGACTCTACCTTCTGGGTCTGGCCTGCCGAATTCTTCTGCCGTAGCTTGCCGAGCCAGCGGAAGATCTTGGCTTGTGAGGAACAACTATCACGAAGAGACCGCCCTGTCTTGTGAGCTATTTTGAATTCGCTGTCGACGGAAAAGTAATCCCTGCCACAGTGAAGAAGGACGAATAACTTGGCCAGCCACCAGAAAGGCAGTGGATCCAGTGAGAAGGCAAGGTTCTCAAAGTCGGGGTCACGCCAGGTCCTTTTCTCCCAGACGGCGAGCCATTCATCAAGCACCCGATTGATGCTGTCAAAATTACTTGAGTTGCCGAGACAGGCAACTCGCGCCGCTAAGCGGACGATGTTGGGACCTGAAAAATCGCTTGCGACTTGGCGATCTAGGCTATCCAGGCTCGATGACTGGCTCATATCGCGACTGCATGGCTTCAGATTGCGGTCTAGATCGTAATGAGTTGCCTCCCAGATGAGGCAATGCAGAGCGTTTACCAACGTAAACATCCCAAAAGCTGATGCCTCGAACCGAGGATGTCGCTCCAGCGGGAGTGATGCTGTCCGCAGTTCAAGAAACGTGGAAGAGAGTCTCCGCTGCGCAGGTGCAGATTGCAAATACTGAAGACAGGTCCGGGCAGATCGGGAGTTCCAGCATGTCTCGTAACAAGGAAGCTCGATATCGAGATCCAGCGGAGAGAATGTCGGTGCCGTGCCCATGAAAATACAGCTGGCCACGTCTTGGCTGAACAAGACATTCGCGATTCTTTGAAAACCTGTTAGTGAGGTTCTTTTACACACAATCCGCTTTAACAAACCTGATGCGAGTCTCGCGCTGAACCCACAAATGCCAGTCGAATGTCTCTTCTGTTAGTGCCGTGTAATCTATCGGGGAGGTTGCGTCAAAAACAGCGGCCCTTTTCGCCATCTGAACGTGATAGAAGTTAGCAAAACATATGGTCGCAGGATAAGAACCACGGAGTAAAGCGCTCACAGAAATGCTACGTGCAAAGTACAGCGGGAAGGCCGTGAGGGCAGCTTCATCTTGCGAGCTTCCAAGAACTGAGGATGCGGCGATGCTTGCTTGGATTGAGGATAGCGGAGGCTCACTCATGTCAATCTCGTGCTAGCCATTGTTAGAACCGTTCTGAGGAGTAGCAACAGCAGCCTCTTAGTAAAGGCATCCCTCCAAACCGAACTTACTTGCTGCTTCTCGACATTCATCAAGACTCGTTTGGCCATTGCGGATATGTACTTTGCCGGGCGGACGATGTCAGTGTAGCAAGCCCCTACAGTGAACATCGCCAGCACGAGCAGCGGCGAGGCCGTCGCTAGGTCAAAGGTAGGAGCATGAAGAATTGGTATGTGATGTTGGAAGTTCCTGCTGAAGAGTTGCAACGCCTGCAGCAAGCTTTCCCGGTTAATTGACCTCATCAGAACATCCTCGGGCACCTCCGGCCCTGGCCCTCGGAGCAAGACCTGAATTGCACCGCATTTTGCCTGCAGGGGATCTAGCTGCTCTAGTGACAGAGAACTCACGCCTGGTTCGCTAAGGCTCCCAGAGGAGAGGTCGATCGTTTTGGGATCAACTACAATTTTTATTAGTAACCGTGCAACCATGTTTCATATGCGTATTCGGCGATGCTTACGCTGCTCAAGCTCAAGCATAAAGTCTGGCGCACCATCAACGATAAATGCTGGGAATAGGGGCAAAGAGGGCACATCGAGGTCCCAAGACAAGTCGCTGGCAAGACCAAGCTCCTGCGCAAATGGCATCCGCCCGCACTGGGAGTCACCGTCGAACCGATCAGACCCTGTCGAGGGACCTTGAGCAGCCATTAGTGGCAGCAGATCGCTACCCTCGACTGACGGCTGGGGTGAGGTCTGGGGAATGGCCGTTGTACTAGGAGAAGAAGCGCCACCGCCAGCATTAGAGGCACCTGGTGAGTTTGAAGCGGTCTGTCGCAAGGTGTGGCTCTGCTGATTTAGGTTGTCACTGTGAGAGCAGGTCATACCTTGAGAGATACAGCGATGGCAGGGACGCCCAGAGTCGCACTTTGCCTTCAGACGAGCACAACGATCACAAGCCCGTCTAGGCCGCGAGCCCGTGACACGCTCTGCCGGCGTCGATCTCGCTTCTCCTACTCTGCAGCCCTTCAGATGGCGAGAGAAGGCATCGCTTAAATTAGCCTGTTAGTTAATTATCACTCGATAAGCAGAGAATTATCAGCCGCGGAAACACAAACCTTCTCGCGAACGCTCTTCCACACGAGCATTTGTATGGCCGTTCTCCAGTATCTGGATGCTTGTTAGTATGAGAGCACGGGAAGTATCGAAGGGGTGCTCTACGCAGCGCAGTGTGCCGCTCGAGATGCTCTGCACGGCTAAAGGAACTGGGACACTTATTACACGTAAAGGGCTTCATTAAGTCACTTTTCATGTAGTACGCAAGAGAGAGATGGTGACAGTAGGATATTTATTAAAGCAAAGGGATCCGTTACCCCATACCCCGCCTTTCTCTTCACCCTCTGCCGGGGTACTCAGCTGTGAGGTTCTGACGAGCTCCAAATAGCTTAGTAAAGAAGTAACGCCCTTGGTAAAAGTGAGATCATATACTGCGTACCTCTTGCAGTACTGTACCTAAGAGTACTCTCCTGATTAATTTCATGGTTTACCTTTTTTTTATGCCCCGTACTTTACTCACTTATAAACCCTCTCCTTTCCTTTCAGTTATGTGCATTGCCAAGCTGTGCCATGTAAGCCGGATGATCAATCTTCCATTCTATGCTGCGGCTCATTGGCCAATGCTGACATTAGCCAGTTATGCCTCATTATTTATAAGGTGATTGCGTACCGGAACAGGGTCTTTCCCTTCTCCTCTATTTCTTTCACATAACTAGCTTCCGTCCACTTAAATTTCACTTCTAGATCGTCATGGTTTCTAGCAACGGCACTGTCTGGGTAGTTACTGGCGGCAACAGAGGCATTGGGCTTGGTTTCGTCAAAGCTCTCATTGCTCGCCCCTCAGTTACCGTCATCGCTACTGTTCGCAACGAAGAAGCTCGCACAGGTCTCAAAAATGCTACTACTGGTCTCGCCAAAGGTGACGGTACTGAGTTGAAAGTCGTCCAGCTGGACTTCACCAACGCGCTCTCCCCTGAACAGATTCGCAACGCGTTTGACATCGATCATGTCGATGTTCTGATCAACAATGCTGCCGCCAGCTTCAAATCCTATCCTGTGATCGAAATCCCGACCAATGACCTCCGCTCCGCCTTCGAGATCAATACAATTGGCCCGCTCACAATCGTCCAGGGACTTTGGCCCTTGTTGCAAAAGTCATCTGCACCGAAAGTCGTCAACGTCTCATCCTCTGTCGGTTGTATTACGTACCACGAAGTTGTCGCTGGCGCATATGGGCCCAGCAAGGCTGCCTTGAACTGGCTCACGCGTGCTCTTCATCAGCAGAATGAAGCGCTGATTGCTTTTGCACTTCATCCTGGATTCGTTAATACGGAAATGGGCGAGTCTGCCGCCACAGAGTGGGGATTCCCCCATGCCATGCTTGAAAGTGTCGAGCAAGCTGTGAAGGGAAGTCTCAGGGTTATAGACAGTGCTACGCGAGAGACTATATCAGGCAAGTTTGTCAGTTATAAAGGACAGGAAATTCTATGGTAAATATGTTGCCATTAACTAAACAGACTTGCAATAACTGTCTCGTATGCTGAATATTGTAGGTAGTGTTAATAAATCTTTTGTTTCTGTAAAGCGGATGACGAGTCTCTGGGTCACGTTCTGAGGTATACTAATCTCTATATAAGGACTATTATTATAAGCTAGATGTTTTACTTGCAGTTAATCCTTGTGGCTATGAGGTTGATTCAGCATAGAGAACTTCGGGTTTACTGTAACCTTGTAGCTAAATTAAAATGTAAAACTTCTCGTAAGATGTGACAGTCACTCTCAGCCAATTTGAACATTACATTGAAGAAGACAGCCCTGCGAAGGTCTGAACTGTCTCTTACAAGCTGGTATACCAGAGCTTTATCTATTCCACTTCTTGCTCAGCACAGCATTGACTTTTAAATTGCTTAAGAAAACACTAGCATTAATAACGTTCGATAATCTATAAGCGCCATTTATTTCCCATTAATAGAAACTTAAGCAACTGCAGAAACCTCCTTTATGGCATCCTTACTTAACACTCTCCTGTCATTAAAAACGCTGACAAGAGATGCGAGCCCGCATCCAGCGATAGAGAGCGCTAAAGAGACCTTGATTCCTGCCATATACGAGGCAATTATACTTGGTAGCTCTGCTGAGGAATATACATCACGGATCGCAGTATAGCCTGTAGCAATGACCTTAGTCAGGTTTATGTCCGGCGCAAGAATCGACAGTTTGTGGATCATGGTGTTCAAGAAGGCTGTCTGCGCCGCTCCTACATAGAGACAGCCGCCCAGGCACTGACATACTGTAAATAGACAAGTTAGCATCTTGAACCATCTCAGAGTGTGATGCAATGGCCTGAGCCAAGCCTGAACAGGATAGCACATACGTAAAATGACTGAAGTAGTAGACGCTAGGTCCTCGGGAGCTACGCTGGCCTGTACCATCATGATTGGCACCTGAAGAGCCACGCCCCAGCCCAGACCAGCAACAATTTGATATCCGATCCATTCTCCGGCGCTTGACTTGGTTGCAAGAGTGTATAACAGTCCGGCGCCAATAGTGCCTATAATGGCCCCAGTTGTAGCCGATAGAGCAGCGCGCCCGGTTGCGGTGATGAACAGCCCAGATAACATCATAGCGATAGTCACAGAAAGAATAAGTGGAAGGCTCATGACACCAGACATCGAGGGACTGGCTCCCTTGACGCCTTGGAAGTACATGGGCAAGTAATAGATAGTCAGGAAATATGAACCTCCAAAGAAAAAGGTGAAAATGGCACTAACGCCGACAGGTCGTTTTGTGATGATACGAGAGACAACCATGGCGCGTTCTCCTTGGTAATGCTCCCACACGAAAAAGAGTGCTGTAATCAAGACAACCCCGACAAGTAGCCCGATAACAGTAGAACTTCCCCATGATTTAGACTGCCCACTATATTCAAGAGCCAGTAGGCACGAGGTGATGGCTCCTATGAGAACAGCGACACCTGGCAGGTCAAGCTGCAGAATCTTCTCGGTCAGTGTGACAGGCGCCGGCTCGACTCCCTTTGGGCGGAAAAAGAATACTATAATTGCAGCAGCCACTCCGCCCAAAGGTAGGTTGATGTAGAAGCACCAGCGCCAAGTGACCTTATCAGAGAAGACGCCGCCGATTAGCGGACCAGCCACGGCAGCAATGCCGTAGGACATGCCGATGATGCCTGTATAGGTGGGCCTCTTGGCGGGCGACGAGATAACCGCGACTATCGTGTAGGTGCCAGTACCAATTCCTGCACCACCCAGCCCATTGATGGCTCTACCGAAAATGAGGGTGTTTGAATCAGGCGCGACCGCGCATATAAGGCTGCCTAGCTCGAAGATAAACAGGGCGATGAGAAAAGTGGCCTTGAGCGAGAAGTACTTGTATGCTTTGCCCCATGACGACTGGAAGCCGCCATTAGCCATGAAGAAAGCCGAGCCATACCACGAGGCCTGATCTAGACTTTTAAAATCGTCTGTGATTTTAGGAATAGCTGTTGCAACAATTGTCTATTATAAGGGAAGAGGTCAGTTAAAGATTCAACGAGACTTCGGTGAGGATAAATCACTTACCATGTCGAGAGAACCGAGGAAAATAGTCAGAATAAGTGCAACTAGGATGCAGTACAAGCTGAATCCCGTTAGAAGCTTAGGTACGGCCTGTGAGATCGAAGAATCCCTAGACTTGTCTACTTCGTCACTATTATGGTCTGGAGTCGCTGTCTGATCTTGCCTGTCGCTATGATCAGGAGATTTTTCATCCGTTATAGGAGTCATCTTAGTAAGAATCAGTTAGAATCTTAGTAATAAATAAATATCTGGCTAAAGGACATGGCTATAGAGAAGGGAGGTATAACTATTTGTACTTAGCTATAGATATTAAATGCAAATTAAAGAGATAAGAAAATGCACAGGGATTGGGAAGCAAGCAGGGTCTCTAGTCCTAAAAAGGAATAATTTACCTATGATTCATAATGACTCGCTATAATAGGGCATAGCATACAGGGGCCTGAAACCCCAAAGGGCCCAAACCGCCAAGCCTAAAAGAGACTAGAATTGCTAAAACACTAATACTAAGCGTTAGCTATTGCCAGTTACGGAGGTACGTCTGAAAAGTCTTTGCTGAAGATGACTGTGACTGCTGGGCCCACTTTTGATAAGATACTAGAGATACATCAAGCGAAATAACAATCGCTGATCACAATAAAGTTATAGTCGCTATAGCCAGTTATTTACTGACAAGACTTCCCTAAGTGCCCTATAACTATAGGGCCTCTATAGGGCAGCCCTTCTGTATCTATCTTATCGCTTGTATATGCATGTACCTAGCAGGGATTAGCAATTGTGGCGTAAGTCATCTTGGGCAAAGACTTTTGAGATGTACCTCCGTAGTACTGCCTGCTTTAAGTCACGCTACGGCATGTAAACTACTTAAAGTCATAAAGTAGCCCTTTAACTTAAACTACCGCGATATAACTGAGGAGAAATGCCGTTCTATAGCGCTCGCGTGGGAAACCTGGTAAAAGTTGCTACTAAGACTTGTGTCCTCCGCTCAGGATTTCTTCCAATGTTACATATTTCACAAAGAACCTAGAGATCTTATAGTGACTGGTTATACCCAGATCTTAGCGTTGGGGCGTCCCCGAAACCAGAGAGAAATTTCTAAGTAATAAAATCAGCGGCTGATTAGTGTATGACTTTGGTTCCACGATTCTATTCCTCTCCCTCTTGATGTGCCTGTGCTGTTCAAAGTCTCTTAGCAAGCAGGATCCACTGAGCGATCTTTCCGGGCTACTGGTGATTCTTAATTTACTGATGTTTCCAGTCAATTGTTGGCGACCAGGTCGTGGCGGTCACCCTTGGAGTCCTTCAGTGCATGATGACCATTTATGATTGGAGAGAAAGTGCGGGGTGTACGTGATGTAAGCGGTTTCCCTCTGTTGGGTCGTAAGAGGCAGTGCTTGCGTAACTGAATGTCACCTTGTGTGCTGTTGTGTGGGGACTTCTGAATAGCACTCAAGGTTCAATGCAAAACGGGGAACCCCGGCCCGTGAAGTGCTAGGGACGGTCCGTGATGACTGACAGGCTCTGTCTTACCGCAATATCCGGTCCAAGAGACAAGTAATAGAAACAACAACATGAATTTCAACCACAGTGTCTTTCTGCACTAGACAGAAAGGGGAAGCCCGCCCTCGGCAAATGATCCCTGGTTCCGAGGCAATATGACAACCAGTTGTATTTGTGACTGTTGATTGATGGATTGGCAGATTCCTAGACAGAAATAGACTCGGGCCACCTGGCATACCTCGTTTGTCGACCAATTGTGCTGAAGACATTACGTGGCAAGTCTCAGGAGTTAGGATACCAAAAGGTATGTAGTGTCAGGACCTTGATAATAATTCAGACATGTTCTATAGACAGGCATACCAAACCTACCTCTCGGCTGTATCTCTCACTCTGTTACGAGCTTTGATAATTGTTCTATCAGCCTAGGGTCATTTGTAAGTTATATGGGCCTTGAGAGAACTGAAGAATTTTCTCCGGTTCAGTAAGAATGTATACCGCCTGTATACAGACTGCCTGTTGCTTCTAATATGGAGATCGTCGCGGAGATGGTTGGACCATTTTCTCCGCAAATTATTAAGCCATTCGATACGGACGGCCCCGGATTCCGGGCGATCACGAGAAAGCTTGTTTTCTGTTCCCTTACGTAGCTTGCATCGTTTGACCATAGGTGAAGTGATCTGACATTTCGTCGATGACGTGCGAACACAGTGTGAGGACGGAACTACCTGCCGAGTTGGCTGTAACGATAGTGCAGTCGCGTTACACAAGTTGTTGTTCCGTGTCCCTTTGTACTCCAGTCGACATGGTTAAATAGTGGAGATAGCAGGGGTGATTAAGAAAGGATCTACAATGAGGGAGGGGAAACGGTAGTTGTGGGAAGGAATGTCTTTCTTATAGTGAATTGCATGACTTCAGTGGTGAAGGCATGAGAACATAGCTTCAGCTTGCCAGCGTAAACCAGTTGACTATATGATGAATAGAAGATATAGGTCATGTTTAAACTCCTGGGTGATTATATTTTCTATGGGGTGTTTCAACATGTTGTTGCGTCTAATGTGACGGACTTATTAACCTAAATAGGGAGAGGAAACGCTCGGTGCAGCTTCCTATGTTAGAGGGACAAGAGCCATACATAAAAGCGAAAGTTTATTTACTGGGCTCGCATTACAGCCACCGAAACTAGCCGCATTACCCTGACCATCGTTCATGTTTTCCGACGCGAACAGCAGTATAAGATGCCTAGAGAATCGAACATCGGACACAATCGAAGCGGAGTTTATCTTATCTTGGGTCTTTTCTCCTCTTGTTCTCAATGGACATATTAGCTGACCAAGAACAACAACATCCAAGACAAACTGACAGCAGAGAACGTGGGAAGGAGCAAAACAAATTAGCCCAGCGAAGATTCCGTGAGTCCGTGCACTTTTCCTGGTCGATTTTCTTAGCTAATGCTGTACAGGGGAGAAGCTGAGACAAAGACAACAAAAGGCGTACAGCATCACTGAGCATGAAACTGATCAGTTTTTGGAATTTGACCCTTATGCGACTGGCTCTCCAAATACTGTAACTGGGAGCGATTTGTCTCTACATCTCCAGGAGCCTTTGCCGGAAACTATCCGAGAATTCCATGGCAGCAATATTCTCGGCTTATGGGATAGCTGGAGCCCAAGTCGCCTGGGTTCAGAAGTCAGCGACTGGGCAATCTCGTACCCGGAGACTGTTGGCACCCCCCCACCATACTGAGTATTTATTGCATGCACTAATGTTATAGGATTTCAACATCGACGTGGAAAATGATGCTTCAGATCAAAGTCATCAAGATCTTGTTGCAAAAACGGCTGGAAATGTGTTAACAGCCAGCATGAAGCCCAGCTGTAAAGGTGAATCGAACGATGCAGATTCCTCATTGCCGCTATTCGATGTAAGTTACTTGGCTACCCATGTTGTCAGCACGCCACTGTCACTTCAAGTGTTGATGCTGATTTTTAATTCCTTAGATAAACCTGGCTACCCAGAAACAACCTACGACATCCATCCTAGAAGGTCAGCGACGCGAGCTATGTTGCCAGGCAAATAATCTCCTACATCGAACGCTTTCCATATATGAGATAGGAATCACATTGGGGATATTTACATCAACCCCTGTGGTTCAATTCCATCTGAAGAAGGCACTTGAAAGCTTTTGCCTCTTGGGGGATAAAAGGAGGATGGCCGGCCTGGATAGCGATAAAGCAAGCGACTCCATGACATCGAATCAATAGGACAAGTAAATATAAGTTTCGAGCAGAGACAAGATCTATCTACCCTTTGGCGCAATTCGCTCAAGATGTGAAGTCAAGATACGGAAAATCGGCCATCCTCCTCGAGGATTAGTTAGGGCTTATCGGAGCAATATTGATACTACGTACATTTTCTTTTCCGTGTTGTCTCAATGGCAAAGCGTCAGACCCTGATTGTCAGGGATGCATCAGGGATGCACGTTGACACGGGGCAATTAGAATGTTCACAATTGGATAATAATAAGCATTACGCCTGTGCTTACGCTTACCATTGAATACCTGTAAGCAAAGTCATACGCTTATGTCATTCTGGTGCAAAAGCCGACAGAATTGATAGCACATCACGTTTTTATATACAGATATATCATGCTTGTCTGACAATGACAGGTTCCCAGATCCCTGACTTCTTTACCCTCGAACAAAATGGGACCATCTGACGACGAATTAATTGCACAAATGCGCTTGTTTATGCACCAGAGCATGAAAAATTACGATCCTTCGCATGACGCGGCACACGTTGAGCGAGTTGTAACTCTTTCTCAAAAACTACTTCGACGTGAAATGCTCGGGCCAAGAGCCACCAAAGGATTGGCCTACAACAGCACAGTGGTAATTCTGGCGGCACTTATGCACGATATCGAAGACCATAAATATCAATCTTCACTCTCAAACGACAATAAACCCCCTAGGGTCGTCTATAACGCATTACTGGACGCCGGGGCAGCGTCGGAGCTAGCACAAACAGTTGAGACAATCGTCAGCCATGTGTCGTACAGTAAGGAGAAGAAAGATCCAGCTGTAGTCACCCGGCTTATCGACAATGGGTTTCCCGAGCTCGCGCTAGTTCAGGACGCTGATCGACTGGACGCGATCGGTGCCATTGGCATAGGTCGATGTTTCACATTTCTCGGTGCCAAAGGAAAGGATTCGGGGGCTCCATGGAAGATGGAGAGTGCCATGGAACACTTGAGAGGGAAGCTGATGCAGCTCCAGGGAACCATGAAGACTGAGGCCGGGAGGAGTCTCGCAGCTGCTAGAACTCAGCGACTCCGTGAGTTTGAAAGCTGGTGGCGCCAAGAGAGTATGAATGATATCGATATGTGAGGGGCGAATTTTTTTGGAACAACGGCTTTCGCATTGTTCATAAATGATTATGTTGGACCATACAAACATTAATAGACATTAGCATCCGTTTTTTGTTCGAGGTCGCTTCGATCTGTGAGCCATTAGCGGGTCAAGGCTACATAGAAACGCACGTCGTAATTTAACTGCCCCTGTTGAGGCGGTGGAGCCGCCTTGGGGGGCTTAGACGTTGCAATATCGCGTGATGTGCGGGTAGCATATGTAAGGTCGTGCGCTCCAGAGTCAAAGTACTCCCCATGTTTTGAGCATCAATCATGTTTCACCAGAGTAGATCGAAGGGCGCGTATGCGAGAGAAGAGAGATCATGCTTGAACTGCCGACGTTCTCGGAGTCGCCATCCTGGCCAGATCAGCTAGGTTTGCAGCCTGCAGGACGAAGCTGCAGACATGACTCGTACACAAGACTTCGCATACACGACCGCCCGGTACGTAGATGTCAGAACGTTGGCTGCTTGAGCATACATACTGTAGTGAGAGAGGGGGCCCAAATAGCCTCACGAAGTCTCATTTGACTCATTCAAGGTACCAGTACAGAGAGTCAAACGCCCCTAAATGAAACTATGCATACGGCTGAGCATTACGAGTCTTAGTATTGAAGTGGGGGCTTTTTGGGTCTCCTTATGATCAAACTGAGTCAAAGTTCCGATTGCGTAGATAGCTATCTAGCCTAAGCATCCTCCTCGTGAAAGACTTTGCGAGGTAGCCAGTCATCAGAATAAACTTTATGACGACGAGTGCCCAGACCATTCAACTTGCCCATCTCCTCATTAGTCAGCCACCATCCATCAAGCTGAAAATTCTCAACGATCCTTGACTCTGTCACGCTTTTGGGGATGACGCTGGTGCCTCGTTGGAGACCCCACATGATACTGGAGGGTCGGTTAGGAACTGTGCAGAGCAGGTTATGTATGCGGGGCTGGAGCAAAGGAACTTACAGGATTTGCTGTTCTGTCTTGCCCTTGGTCGCGGCGATCTGCGAAAGGAGGGGTTCGTCGTAGAGTGCCGAGTCTTGGCTGGCCAGGGGTGAGTATGCCATGCAGTGAATCCCTTTACTCTGACAGAACGACAGTAGCTTCTTTGTCTGCCAGTACGGGTGCATCTTGTGTGTACGCGTCAGCATAATGAATGACCCGCATGATTCAATTCGGCTTCTGTGCACAACTTACCTCGATTTGATTCACCGCCGGGGTGATATTGCAGCTAGGGCTTTCCAAAAGTGTCTTCAAATCGCTGATGCCAAAATTAGAAACACCAATGGCTTTAGCTCGGCCTGACTTGGCGATCTTCTGCATTTCCTCCCTGTATTCGTGTTAGTCTCAGCAGCACTTTTGCCGTACCTGTTGTCCTTACCATGTGTTTATAAAGTTCCAGTCTACGAGTAGTTTCTCGGGATCCTCTGGATTCAAAGAAACCGGCCAATGCTAAAGCAACTCAGCATATGTGCTTATTCATAGTGTGCGGACCGATGAACTTACCATGAGATACAAATCCACGTACTCAACTCCAAGTGCGTTCAGTGACTGCGCAAAAGCTTCCTCGACTCTGTTGTGCCATTTGTTGTCCAACTTGGTAGTTATCCAAATATCGGAGCGAGGGACTGCCGACTCTTTAATAGCCTGACCAACCTCGTGCTCATTGCGATACGAAAACGCAGTATCGATGTGGCGATAGCCTGCCTCTAGGGCCGCCTTGACTGCTCTGCACACTTGGCCAGGTGCCTTGGGCTTTCTGGTACCCAGTCCTACGGCCGGTAATTGCGCGCCAGTGTTGAGCGTGAAGGTTCTGAGAGTTGTTGGGGGTGGCGAGGGAGGAGCATGCTCTGCATCTTTCGGGTGCGTGTTGCCATCGCAGATGATCACTGAGGGCTTTTTGGTGCCGTTCGTGAAGCCGTTGGTCCCGTGCTCTCCGTTTGTGATCAACGTGTGGAGATTGGAAACAATAGGGCAGACCTTCTCAACCCGGAGAGTGACGAATGACCGATTGACCGCTTCAATGGTAGCCATGGTATCCGCAAAAGCAGTCAAAGCATTCGTATAGCTCTTGGTACGGCCAGTGGCGTAGTCACCGAACTGATGACACATAGACTGAATTGTCGCTTCCTTTCTGTGGTCATTGTTGACTTCGAATGTTTGGTTACCATCAAGATCGGAATGGAAGATTCTATGGCCGTGCAGAGTTAGAGTGCCCTTCGTGCCGGTGACGACAAGTGATTCTTCATCAAAGGGCCCGATACGAGAGATATAAAGGTAGCCCACTGCGTTAGACGGCCACCGCATCGCCATAACAGACACGTCGTCGCCGTTGCAATCGGGAGGACTCCGGACTGAAACAACACGAGAAGCCATCAAAGACTCAGGCTTCCCGAGCATCCAGACGAGAATGTCTACGATATGACATCCGAGATCCTCCTGTTGTATAAGTACATTAGCTTGAGATCATGGGCAAATAGTTTGAGCGTTGTACATACCGTTACACCAACTCCCTGGCTTGCTCTCCACGAGCTAGCAAGATCTCTAACGTTCAACACAATTCTTGCTTGGATCGAGGCAATCTCGCCGACCGAATAAAGCAAGCTCTTGAACTGATTGTAGCGAGGTTCGAAGCGCTTCTGCATCGTCACGCCAATCTTGATGGGGGCGCAGACGAGCTTCCGGAAATCCTCGGCGGACCCAGCCACCGGCTTCTCCTTCAAGATCGGAACCCCACTATCAGCAAGAATATCCACACAGTCTTTATGGAACTGGTGAGGAACGCAGACAATAGCAAAGTCCGGCTTATGGTCTGCTAGCATGCCCTCGATGGATGAGTAGGCGGGGACATCGGGATGACTCTGCGAGAAAGTCAAGAATTTGCCGGGATCTGTGTCGCAGACCGCAAGCACTTTGACAGAAGACGCCTGCAGACACTTGAAGAAGGTGTTGTAACCACGATGGCCGAGACCGACCAGCGCAATGCTGTACTGTCGATGGCCAGAATGCTGGAGCTTCGGCTGAGGCTTTGCAATAGCTTCTGACAAGAAATCCATGATGAACGAACTGGGTCTCACTAGTTTATTGATGATAGAGTTTGTCTGATGTAAGTTAAGAGTTACTAAAGTTCTTAGCCTCTTAGTAACTCGGAACAGGTGGCCAGATACTAATACTTGGCTCGGGCTACTACAGATAGCAAAGAAATTATCATGTTGGAACTAGACTGTGTTTCCATACACCTGTCTGTGTGTAAAGATCTACCGGCACACCGTAAGCATAAGCAGGGGTGTAAGCATAAGCATCATGCAGGCATGTACATGGGTGTAAGCGTAATCAGGGCCGTAATCAATGCTATAAGCATCGATTAAGTTATCGTTCTCAGTCCCATCGAACAAACTCTAGACCCATCAAAACGGAAAGACCCTTCAGTGCCAGACAGACGTAGGATCGTGCTACTGTGCAGGCCTCCAGAACCAAGACACCAACATGTCACTTACAGTTCATCTTGTCATTCTCTTTGCAGGCCTCGCTCTTGCTGTCTTTGCTACATCACTCGATGAGACAATTGTAAGCCATTCTCCAATGTGCTAATGTAACATGCCTAATATCGCCGTCACAGGTTGCCGTGGCTGCAGTAAATATCTCGGATGAGTTCAACAGCTTCAACCTCTATGACTGGGTAACTGTTTCGTATCTCATAGCCCTCACGGGTGTCCAGCCACTCTATGGTAGGTTTTCAAAATAGTTATAATGTGAAAAGATGAATCTGAGTTTTGTACAGGCCAGATCTCGGATGTCGTGGGTCGGAAAGGTAGTCGTCCCCTCGGTCATGCCATTGACAAATACCTAACCCTAGATAGGCCCGATGATGACTGCTGTGGCCGTGTTCTTTGCCGCAAATGCTGCATGCGCGTGGTCTCAGTCGATGGTATCTCTGATCATCTACAGGACAATTGGCGGAATTGGTGGCGGCGGCATGACTGGGCTCAGCTTTGTGATCGTAGCTGATCTGTTCCCAATAGGTATGCCAACATGTCTCAACTAACATCTTCAAACCTGACCAAAGACCAAGATGAACGCCCGAGATACCAGGGAATACTGATGTCTGGCGTCGGCGTTGCGATGGCCTTAGGTCCTGTCTTGGGAGGCAGTAAGTAGTTTCGTTCTTTAGGCGCCTCATCTGGGATGACTGTCCCGTGTACATATGTTTTCTTATATCAGTTTCGCTAACTCCCAAAGTATTGACCCATGTCGCCAGCTGGCGGTGGTGCTTCTGGACCATCATGCCCTTCGCAGGCATCACATTCCTGATTATCGCTTTCACGAAGCTCCCCTTGCCCCCCACACAATCAGCACGAAATCCAGCCGAAGTCCACAGTCGCAGGGATCGAGCCGGGAAGATAATTCGGGATTTGCGTGGTATCGACTGGTTGGGTGCTTCGTTAATCATGTGCTCGGTCACCTGCCTCATTGTGCCGCTCACTCATGGCGGCGATCAATGGCCGTGGTCGTCAGTGCAAGTCATCCTTCTCCTTTCAGTTGCGGTAATATCAATAACAGGACTTATCTTGCTTGAGCTGTTCGTGCTGAAGGACGCCGCCTTAATCCCCGTCCGGTTTTTCAAAAACAAAGCCCTCGTTATGGCATGGTTAAACTTGTTCGTATACAATGTTTTATTCATGGCCCTCCTGTATTATCTGTGAGTATTGATTGCGCTTCCCTTGCGGGACTGCACCCATTACACATCAGTAACAATATACACTAACGGCTGAGGGCAGGCCTATATGGTTTCAAGTTGTACGAGACTATAGCTCTACCAAGACTGGCCTGTTCCTCCTCCCTTTAGTGTGTGGTCTTGTCCTTGTTGGCATCAGTTTCTCGCCACTGCTCCGGCTGGCATCCCTCATCAGAGCTACACTACATCTTCGATCCAAGGCTCCTAGGCATCTTCTTTTATTAGTCGGCTCTACCTTGTTTTTGTTGGCGACCACGTTGATCGCTACCGAATTGAAGTCAGCCCCGATTGCCGGATATGTCATCATGGCACTCGTACTTGGGATTGGTGGCGGCATGGTCCTACAGTCAAGCTTCTTGGAGGCCCAAGCTTCCGTCCCTACTATAGGTAACTATTGACAGGAAAATATTCGAATGCCCCCCGTTCCTCAAGTAACAAGCTGACTGAGACGACAGATGTAGCACTTGCAAACACAGTTGCAGTCATGTTCCAATACCTGGGTGGGGCGATTGGGCTCGCTGTCGCTGGCATAGTATATCGCCAGTCTCTGACAAGGCAGTTAAAAAACGAGCCGGAAGAAACAATTGTACGTTGCCTCTGATGCTGTTGTGGCGCTCATCTAACTGTACGTAGCCTAGCGGCTTGCGCCAGTACATCCTGCATAATCCCAAATATGCAGCTCAAATCTCTACAGGTAACCCGATCATTAAAAATGCAATCGAGAAGCTGTATTCGCGGGCTATATTGCTGGTTCTAAAAGTCCTGATTTCATTTGCCGGAGCTGTATTTTTGAACTCGCTGTATATAGTCAGGCTTGGATGGGGCGCCCAGGAAAGTGACTTTCCTAATACATGTGAGCCAAGTTTACAGAGTGAGGAGTAGGAGGGAATAGATATGATTGCAGGCCCTCGTCCTCTGTACAGCCAGCATCTTTCGGGGGCGCGGGGAAGCTCTATTCCCTGTATGAGCGCATTTATTTAGACGTTCTCATCATGCCATGAGTGCATGTATTTAAATTTCCGTCGGCTAATTGAAGCAAAATCCTGCATTTGAGCATGGCTGGTTATTGGCGGAATACAGCAAAGATCGCCAATTATAACACATCCCGGCAAGACTTCTTCACGGAATTACACGACTCGCTCGGCTGTAAGTGAAGACGCTACGTGATCATGCTGATCACTGAGCAACTAATGAGGGGCAAGATTTTGCCTAAACTCTTGGTTAATTACGCTTATCTGGTGTATTGACTTGATATATGTCGTGGATATGTATGCTCAAGACTAGAAGTCAATGTCAAGCCATTTTGCCATGCAACGCACAACCATGAAGATGCGTCTGCCGTTTATATTTCTCCTCGCTGTCCACTTATCAGTGGCAGCAGACGTCTTCGTTGATCGACAGGGACATGATGACAATCCTGGGTCGGCCGTAAAGCCGGTGAAGGGGCTTCAAAGAGCGCAAGAGCTTGTCCGTGGACTCATTCCGTCTGCCAAAGATGACATCACTGTACACCTTGGCCCAGGTACCTGGGTAATTGACGAGCCCATCATGTTCAGTAATGAAGACTGCGGTACCAATGACTTCAAGGTGACATGGGCAGGCTCGGAGACCGTTATCTCTGGAGGGTATGAGATCAGCAATTGGACTAAAGGCGATAGCGGGATATGGTCTGCTTCAGTCCCTAAGGGAACTAAATCCCGTAATCTGTACATGAACGGATTGGCTGCTCAGTACGCCAGAAGGCTGATCCATAATCGGACGGATTTCGAATACACCAAGGTCGGGATGACCTGGACCAACTCAGATTACGACTGGATCATGAATACACCAGGCATTGAGAATAGTGAGCTCCGAGCCATAAATTCCTTCACCGATCGGGTTGCACTCATCGAAAAGGTTGGAGATCGCGTGCTTGAGATGAAGAGGGATATATGGGCCAACCAACTCATCGGCTATGACCAAATCGCAGAGCCTTTTTGGGATGGAGGCGTCTGGATTCAAAACGTTAAAGCCCTGCTGACTGACGGCGGTCAATTCTACCTTGACAGAAATGAGTCGACTGTCTATTACAAGCCAAAAGCAGGCGAAGATATGGCTACCGCATCTGCTTATCTTGGAATCGAAGAGGTCCTGATGGTCGTCGGTGGAACCTATGAAAAGCCGGCTCACGACTTACACTTTAAGGGAATTACCTTCAAGCACAGCACTTGGCTGAGACCGGATACTTATGGGTATATAGATCAGCAGACTGGTGGTCATATGGGAAATGATAGTCTATGGCCCAATTTTGAAGCTTCAAGGCCTCATTGGTGGCAGATGCCTAGCGCGATTCAAGTCAGTGCTGCATACAGCATCACCATAGAGGCTTGTACTTTTCGAGAGCTTGGAGCTGGAGGCATCGGTGTTGGAAACGACAAGAACGCGCACTTGACGGGTGTTGGCCTCGGTGCAAACAACATTCACATCGATGATAACTATTTCACGCAGGTGATGGGGAATAGCATCACTGTGGGAGGTATACAAGCCGATGCACACCACCCATCGCAGCTGAAGATGCTTGTGTCAGACATCCACGCGTCCAACAACATCTTCAATAACAATTCGGTCCTGTGGTCGTCCTCTGTCCCTATTCTCTTTACATACACGCAATTCTCTTCCATCACACACAACGATATTTATAACCAGCCATATAGCGGCATTTGTCATGGCTATGGTACGGCCCATACCTCCCTGACAAGTGAGATTGCTAATAGGTTCTAGGCTGGGGAAGCAATGATGAAGGAGGTAGTCCGGAGTACGCCAAGCGAGGCCTTTACAAATATCAGCCTCTCTATGATACACCCACCGTCATGAAGAACAATTTGATTGAAGGAAATCTGATTCATCATTTTGGTCAATCGCATACTGACTTTGGAGGCGTATACACGCTGTCACGGTCGCCAAACACAACAGTGTCATCCAATTTCATATATGATGCAAGTTGGCAAGCTTTGTACCCTGGTACGTGACCCACATAAGCCATCATAAGTTTGGCTGACACTCGCGACAGATGAAGCCTCAAGAGATATCACATGGTACAACAATCTGGGTTTTACCTCAGGAAAGTATTATGCGCCAAACGATTGGATTCCAGAACAGCTCACTGGATGTATGTTCACCGCCCATGGACGCCAGAAGATGTGCTGACAGGATCAGGGAACACTGTGATTGATAACTGGGGTAAGCTCGGAGTCAAAGACAACGAGGTCCTAGATGGCTTCCCAAACCATTCCGGAAGACGCAACAACACGTTTCTACGTAACTACCTTGCGCCCGACGTAAATGGAACAAGTCTCATTGCACAGAGGGCTGCATATCGAGCCGGTGTCATTCCGTCCAAACGCAAGGGAAGGCCCGTTACGAACGATCCGGATATCGCGGATGCCTACTTGGATGTCAAAGTCAGCGATGGACGTGTCGTTGTTAACGTTACTAACTTTGACGATGTGGACTTCAGAGACGTTGTTTTCCGTATCTCAGGCCCTAGTGTCACGTTCACAAGAAAGTCCACCCCTCGCTCAATCCCGGCAGATGGTTCTGCAGCAGCGGTGTATACTTTCTCTGGCTCCCTAAAGGGGAACGCCACCGCTTCGGTAAGCTATGTGAACCCGAGAACGCGAGCATACAGCAGAGAGAAGGAGTTTTCCCTCCTCAAACAGCGAGATATCTAGTCTAGATTGCATGAGCATCAGATCTGCTTATCACAGTGACTTCCTAACTGTCATACCCTCAAGGGCGGAAACTTGTTATAGGGGACTTTACTAGCTTCAGAATGGCAGATACGAAAAATTCTATTTTAAAGTATATACTTATATACCTGAAGTATTATTTATTGCACCGATTCCCGAATAGCATCTCAAAGTGGCTTAAGTCGAAGAATAGGGCAGGTCCTCTTATAATGTGCTTGCGGAGTTTTACCCCTGGTAATAAGCTCCGCCTGCAGCCCAAGTCCGCGGCCTTAGCCCGTAGCTCCGCGCATTAGATACCTACCGAATTGGAGATCAAGACCCATGGCCAGGCGTGGGGTGGAGCGATGTGGGAGGTCAAGTCCGCAGATCTCGTGGTTTTACGGATAGATATCAGAAGTTCCACTGCCAAGCCGTGAGGCCGATTCTAGCTCGCAAAACAATTCTTTATTCCTCACCGTTCTAATTATATTTATCAGTAACCCATTAAGGGCTTGTTTTCATACAGGAGCCTTTTTCTTTCATCGGATAACAAAATAATGTAATACGATAATCTTTCTCTGCAAGCCATTATCTATATCGCGGAAAGAAGCGCCATCAAGATAACCATTCAATGTAGCTGAACCCATGGACAAACCCCCCTCAGTTCAGCCTAACCTCTCCTTGGTATTTTCCCATCCACTCTGGTTTCATGAACAACACGAAAACCCTAAACCCCAATGCGACACCCATTGCCAATCCAGAGGCCAAGGTCAGCTTGGTAGGATAAATCCCACTACCGTCATCTCCTGCAAGCCGAGCCTGCCAAAACAAGAGCGGGAGAGCCATAGCCTCAAATGATGCTAGCATCTGATACGTGATCCGCCTCGTCTCTACCGCCCCAGCTCTGTTCGGGACTCCAAGCATCATCGGTACCGTCATGGCGGCCAGGCTGATACCGCACAGCTGCATCATTGGGACAGCGTAAGGCGCCGCAGACGGGTCGTCGGTCAAGTACATTCGTTTGAAGGCTTTGTCTGCGTTGAATATCATGGGTATCGCCAAAAGGATATTAAAGGTCGATTCAGCGGCCGATACAATTCGGACAATGGTGCCAGAGGCCGATGGATCAATCTCCACTGACGCTTTGGCGCCAGTTCCGGTGCGTTTGTTTGTGTTTGCCATAGTTATGTTTTGGGAGGATAATTTCTAGTGTTTCTTGAATGAGATTGGGATATTCTGTAGAGATGAAGACCTAAGAGCCTGGGATTAGGCTGTCTTATAAACTTGTTGAGATTTGTGGCTGTGAGCTTATTCCGGCAGAGTGAACCTAGGACCCAGTTATTCCAGTGTTCTGAGTGGTCCGGGAAGCCCGGATAGTTGCCATAATGCAAAGCTCAACGTTATGCTTAGCGTTATGCTTGACGTTATGCTGAGCGCCCCGACCTTAGGGTCAAAGCATCTACCTACCTTTATGCTTAGAACGTAATCCACAGCAAGAGAGTATCTTGCAGCCATCATCCCATACACGTTGGCCTAACGCAGAGATGTGCATTTAATAGATAATGGAGAATGCGCCACCATGCAATTGTCAATGTCATTGGCAAGTAATCCCGGTATATGCATCACATGATTATCTGACCTGAGATAGAGATAAACTGTGGCTTGGGTGCTATTTCGTCTTCGTTAGAAACTTGAAAGCAAGTGGTGATATCCGGCGTTGGAGTTTACTTGTTCAGATCAGCGGAACAAGATGACATCATCTAACCTATTACTGGCCATCGTAAAGCACATTTTCTGTCTGAATTTCTTATTAAGTAAATGTTTTATAACTTCAATGTTCGGGGCTACTGGTTGTAGCTCCCGGGCCGGTCATGAGATATATCAGAGCAGGAGAATCATAATAACCAGGTATAAATACTCAGAGCCCTACACGGACAAGTGTAGGGCCAAGGTTGAACCAGCACGTAAATATTCTGAAAGTTCCTATTACTATCTCCGGGTCCAATAACAGAGTGCGATGAAATGGCACGATGTGGGATGTCGCTTGTGGAGATCCCAGATCCTTTGTCAGCCAGTCGCACCAGCACCAGTCCAGCACCAGCGACAGCCTCCACGGTCGGAGACACGAGTATATAAGCCAAGAAATAACTCATTCAAGATAATAACATAGATTTGAATGTCACACCTTACATCTTGTCTTCAAAACCACTTATCATGCCCGTTGTAGCTATTGCAGGGAGCACCGGCAGTGTCGGTCGCTTTATCGTTGAAGAGACTATCGCAGATGGCAATTTTGAGGTCATCATTTTAGGCCGAAAGGCTTGTCCACAGTGACTCGATCTCGGTGCTCCCCAGCTAACTATCTTTACACTCAGGTCAACCCATCGCTGGAGAAAGAGCTCGGTGCTCGCATCCTCGCTATCGATTACTCCGACCCCAATTCCATTGCGACCTTGCTCGAAGAAAACAATGTTGAGGTCGTCATTGCCGCGCTGAGTGGACATACACCTCCCGAGCAGGAGCTTGGTCTCATCCAAGCCGCCGCCAAGTCTAAAGTCACCAAGCGATACATCCCTAGCGTATGGGGTATCAAGTATCGCCCAGAGCAATCTTGGTTCTTCAATGCCGCAGCCAAGCTGTCTCTCTTTGAGGCACTGGAAAAGACTGACTTGGAGTGGACTGCGGTTGCAAATGTCTTCTTTCTCGATTACTGGGGCACCCCAAATCTCAAGACATACCTGGATCCTTTGACCATAGTTCTGGATATTCCTGCAAGAAAGGCTGCGATTCCAGGCAACCCAGACCAGCCAGCTATCTTCACATACACGAAAGATGTTGCTAGATTTACAGCTAAGCTCTTGACGCTGGAGAAATGGGATCCAGTATCATATATCATCGGCGATAGGCTTTCGTGGAAGGAGTTTGTGAAGCTTGCTGAAGAGGTTACTGGTAGGATCCGCCTGCTTACTCTTATCATAATACACGGCCATCAAAACTAACGAACCTCTGCAGGCGATAAGTTCGAGGTCACTTACGATTCAGTTGAGTTGCTCCAGTCAGGAAAGGTCACAGAGCTTCCGGGCCACCTAGCTGTCTACCCCTCCTTCCCAAAAAACGCACTGCAAACCATGCTTTCCGAGCTTGGTATCTTTTTTAACCAGGGAGGGATGGACTTTCAGCCGGAGAAGACTCTTAACAGCCTTTTCCCAGAGATTAAAGTAGCGACCGCCCGGGACGTTTTAGAGTTTGCTTGCAAGAAATAGTCTAGCCATATGCTGTGAGAGCGCTTAATAAAATCTTTAAGACATCTCACTCTTGATAGAATTTTCATACATTTAGAAGTGAAATCGAAGGGTTCCGAACGTTTCGTCAACATATCGACATTCAGGTGGTTCTCTCCAAACAGCCACTCTCCTCTTGAATGCCAGCTTGCCGAATCCGGTAAAGTCGGAATCCCACATCCCACTTCGCTCCACCAAGATCCCACATCGCGCAGCTTTATTCACCTGCGAAAGCAAGGATATGCTGAATAAAGAATCAGCATCCTCCATCCCACATCGCGCATCACGACCAATTCTTCTCTATCCTAACTCATCTTGTTCTAGAAACCAAATGTCTGCTGACCTATCCCGATTCCACTGCAACTATGCGGGATGCGCGCGATCATACAAAAAGAAAGAGCATCTCTTACGTCATGAGAGAGATCACTTAAACCTGCGCTCATTTGCATGCACGCTATGTCCAGCTACGTTTAACCGAAGGTGGGCATTCCCGTCTGATTCAGTTCTGGTTGACACATGCTGAGTTGATCGAGTGATTTGCTCAGACGCCATGAGGCGATCAGTCACCAACTCGACAAGGTTTCTGGACTAAAAGAAGGAGGGACGTCATCAATAGAGAACACTACATACGAACCACGAGAACCTATACCTGTCAGTGAGCTAGGCGCATCACCTGTTGACACATTGGACTCTTTTCCCAGCACAGCACTCCAGGGTTTGAATCTGTGTTCACATTCAACGATTCAATTACTCCAAGGCTCATGTCGAGATGAGCTCGAAGCGTCTTACTTTCTACACTTTCACCCCCACTGGCCTTTGTTGCATAAAAGAACTTTCCTGCAATCAAACCCTCCTCCAGAACTCACGGCTGCCGTTTTGACAGCTGGGCTGTGGGTGATTGATACCCCAGAGACCAGGGACAAAGCCCGGCTTTATCATGATGCCTTGCTAAAGACGCTTTACGAGCAACTCGTGAGATCAATAATACCAGTTAAAGATTAATCATCTGACATCTGACATGTATATAGTTCAAACTTCCTAAATCAGCTACAGATTCATCCGGACCTCGAGCTGAGTTCCTCCCTGCATTTCAGGTCCTTCTCATTACGTTAATTCTTTGCACCTACCGTGGGGCAGAGACATTTCCATCCGCTTTGTTCAACAGCAAGCAGGTATGGGAGCTGTTCCAATCCTTTGGCGTCTACGATCAAAATGCAATAGACGATCGAAATCAACGTCTGATAGTCCGCGAGTCCTACCAGCGGTAAGCAGCTCACAGTTCCCCTCGCCTACAGAGTACTTCACTAACATGGCAAGGCTGGCCCTCTTGCACTTCAAAGTCCACGTTCATCTCAATTCTATCTTGGTCGGTCATTTTTCCCAGTTCAAGGCGTTCGACTACTTGACGCCAAGCATGCTCAAGGTTCGAATTCCCTCGGCAAGCTTGCACTGGGAGGGTGATGAAGAGTTGCTTCTTGGTCAGGGACACAAATCTGAAACGGTCGCTGATTTGCTTGATTCGTGTAATGAACTAACTCGCGTGTCGGATCTTGTGGCTTGGGACTTTACTCTAGGAATGATTGTTGGGTGCTACTTGGTGAGACCAGCGGGGGAGGCTCATCGTGAGCTAATAAAGCGGTTGGACCCATTTTTGTTTCTGCATCTAAAGAGTCTCACCCGAAAGCCCTAGCCAAGGACACCCAGCAACTTCAGCGGCTCACCTGCTCAATGACGGCTCGTCTCTTGTTGAAAATTCGCTGGGCTGCTAAGAAAGACTCATTCTATGTTCTCACAGTTGACATGAGCTTTTCATCGGATATCGAGGTATAGGGTATTAGCGTCATTGCTGAGCTTCTATCACCAGTGGCTGGATTTAACGTTGTCCGTCCAATTGAAATTGACTGGACAAGCCAAGGCTGATAAGCATTATGCATTATGCATCAATTGAGCTGGAAGTATGTCCTGCATTCGAGATGCAGCATCACGGACCGGCTAGGCAACTTGCACGTGGTCAAAAACGATAATGGCTTCAATACCCATATAGGCAGTTATCCCAACCGCATCGTACGATGTAGAAACCCAGAAGTCCCTTAGCGTAAGCGATTGCCTTGGACCTAACCTAATTTAATGCTAGATAATTCTGCCAGATAAGAGAATGTTGGATGCATTCCCAGACCTCTCCTCACTCAATCTAGCGGTGGGTATTTCGGCATCTATAAATAGACTCAACGGAACTTGCCATGCTTGGTCTCGAAGCGATTGGTCAGATGCCCATGATGTCCCCACAGACCTGTCAATCTAAACCTGTCGCGCTCGAGTCGTGCCGCTCGTGTTCGGGACCTTGGCCGACTCCGAACTGGAATCTTGGCGATAACTTCGTCATTCTTTTGTTATCAATCTTCATACTGGACAGTATTCACCACCTACCACCCATCGCCACCTCAGACGACATATTGCTCAAACTAAACACGCCACTTTAGTCTCAGGGACCATCTGCCGCCTCTGTGCTTGAGCCACATTCGATCGAGGGATAACCGGGGTTCTCATTCGTCGTAAGATTACTGGAAGCGACCAATCCGCCGCCATGTCTGACAGCTTCTAGCTCGCGGCGACATAAGCGAGCATGCGCTCGCAGCATCACTGCTTCGTCAATGTCCCAATACCCCGCCATATTCCTCACCAAGCTGTCCTCGACTACATACAGACATACGAGCCTGTGCTACGCAACAACCCTGGCATGAGATCATGGGAAAAGTCAGACCTAGATTATGCGCTCGTCGCCAATGATCGATTCTTCGATTCATCAGACCCAGGACAAAGTCTACGTTGTTATCAAGCTTATGAGGTCATGAGACTTGGACCGGGGGTTCAGAGGGATTTAAAATGGCCGATTATCTTCCAGAGAGTGCCGAATGGAATCGTATCGAGGGCAGATGCGCCTGCAGGAGTGATTAGCTGGACACAGTGGTATGTCAGGCCAAAGCCCAGTGAAGCTACGTCAGATGCTGTGAGTACGCCGAGTACGGCGACGCCATCGAGTTCGGGGGATGACACCTGGGAGGTATATGGAATTGTGACAATTGAGGCGCATAGGATGTTAATGCCATGGGTTGCTACGAAATCGGAGAGCTATCAGGTTGCAATTGGGCAAGGGATGGTGGATGATGCATGTTCAAAGTTTAGCTCTGGAGAGATTTCGTGATAATACGAGATGCATTAACTGCAACAAATCACGTATCTCAATATCTTGCTCATGCTCACGCCTCCTATGAACCCAAGCTCCGCGCGCTCAGCCGACGTAAGTTATCCGTCAACCGACATAAGCCTGAAATAATCACTGAAGGACTTAACATCTCTTCGGCAAAGCTCTGCGGCGTGTCGGCTTCTGAGCCAACTCAATCTCCGCATTCCGTCGACGAACCAAGCCCGGAAGCCGCTGGCCACTGGCATACACCCACTGAGGAAGTTCTTGTGAGATCACAGTATTGGGATCCTCTCCGTTATTCAGACGCTCAACGAGGGTAGACGACTCAGCATTGCCGCAGCCCATGTTGAAAGCCCAGCTTATGAGCGCGCCGTACTGGTTCCTGTTGAGCTTTGCTTTGCTGTTCAGCATGGCTGTGATACAGACTTCGAACTCCTACAGATGCAGACTTGGTCAGTGATAAAGCGCCCTGATACGAGTAGTGAGAGCAAACCTTCATGTCATCTGCTAGTAGCTTCTTCCCATTCATAACGGAAAGTGGGATCGGATACTTGACTTCACTGCATTGAGGTGCGTCACACAGATGACCATACCCTACCGTCGGATTTCCAGTCGGATCGTTGTCTGAAATCATCAGCATTAGCCCAAGGAACAACTATCTGCCAGAATTTACTCACAAACATCAGGCCTGAAGCCCTCGAAGCTGGCGATGAGATTGACAGTCGCCGCATTCGACTTGGGCGGTCCGCACGAACGGCACTTCGAAGTCACGTACCCACTTGATTCTGTAGCGACGTAGTAGTCGGACACGTAGCATCCGAACGTCGTCTTGTCCCAGAGGGTGTTCCCTTCGATGTTAGTGCCCTCGGTCTGGCAGGTAATGGTCACATCAGTACCCTTGGCGAATTGTCGCTGGATAGCATGGCTCGTTGTAGGACCGCTGCGGCATCTGACACCTTCATCTGTGATAAGAAAGGCGAAACTGGAAGCTGCTGCAAGAAATTGGGCAGCGAGAATGTTAAGTCTCATAGTGAATTAGTGATTACCGTGGAAATGACAGACCAAAGAGTTGTTGATCTCCAAATAGCTCAGTGCTGAGTATTACGAACTGCCAAAGTCATTAGCAAAGGCCCGACAGTCGGTCATGCGATCAGCAGCCCTAGAAGCTCAAAGGAGACCAGAAACTGTGCACCTAAGAGAGATTACTCAATCTCTCAGCATAGGGACAAACAAGGATCTTCGGGAAGCACAGTCAGAAATAAAGATGTTTGTGCTACCCCGAACGTTCTTCTCGAAGTCTATTAGCCGCATTGGGACCTCAATGAGGACAAGGTGTATGCAGTAAGCCTTGGGTTGCCACGTGTAGAGCACAATGACCTGTGTCTAGAGGATACGGTCCGAAGTATAGTTCTGAAATTAACACCTCATGCTATGTGACATTGCGGCAGAGGAGTTAGATCGAGTGATAGTGTATGAGTCGCTCTGTCTGGAGCCTTGATTACGAGATCTGGGCTTGTGAAGAATGTGAAGCAAGAGTTGCTAAATGGATTGCAGATTCATAATATAAATATTGACTATCTAGCTACGAGAGACTGTCCCATATCATCTCCTTGCCGTGTTTAGTAAACATAACGGAAGTTGAGGTTCTTCCTATCAGTGATATCGGAGATCTCGAGATGCTCCGTATCGTCCTGAAGGCCAGCGCTCGTCTGCTGGAGCCTATCGCGTCGCTTGTTCTCGGCGATCAGCACGAATCGAAGAACGATCATAGTGACGGTCGAAATGCCGAAGCAGATCGTGGTAGCCAAGAAACCGCTCTACAGTCATGATGTCAGCTTTGTTCCAAATAGGCACTTTGATGGAAGTGACTGGCTGACTTACCGAGTATTCGGGTGCCTCGCGGGCGAAGAACAGAAAAGGACCGATGATATTACCGGTGGTATATGCCATAAACATCATCGCGGCGGCGACACTCTTTTTAGTAAAGCCAGCGACGTTGGAAGCGACCATGGACAAGGAAATAGGAAAACCAGCAGCGAACGCGACAAAGATCCACAGTCCAAAGAGTCGACTTCCTTGGTTGGGGCCGTAACGAACGAGAAGCGACCCGGCCAAACTGTTACAGTTAGATGGTGAAGTTACACGAGGTCGGAGATGCTTACCTGATCAGGCTGAGGCATGCGCCAATAATGGTTCTGTAGCCACTAAAACGACTGCAAAGGTAGGTTGATCCGAGAGCGAAGAAAGCAAGAATGGCACCCATGGGCATGTTGAGGAGGTAGACCTGGAAACGACTGAAGCCGAAGCCCGCCATGACAAGACTACTGAACTACAAGGTGTCAGATAATTGCTGCAGTCGAGTACAGGGATCACTCACAGTGGTATGTGCACCGTTGGGAATGCTAAAGGCAACTTGGAAGACCATCAAGAGCAGGACATTGGGATCCTTGATAACTTCGCGGACCTGCTCCCACTTGAAGCTGTTGTTCTTCAAGCCAGTTTGGTTACTTCGGATACGATCGACGGCATCGATGCGCTGTTGTTGATCGAGGAAACGGGCGTTGTCGGGAGTGTCAGGGAGGAAGATGGCTAGTACAATGGCCCAGACGAGGGTGATGAGACCGAAGATGATAAAGAGCCACTGCAATCAGGAGTTAGTCTTTGTCACTCTTACTAAAATGGGAGCGAAGTGCCGACTCACTCTCCAAGACTCAAGAGCACCGCCAATGTGAGCAATACCGTACGCCAACAGACCACCAAATGAAGTAGCAATGGCATTTCCCAAGAACCAGATACCGTGTCGGAAAGGCTGTTCCTCACGCTTATACCACATTCCAGTGATGAGGGAGAAACCAGGCGAGATGGAAGCCTCTGCTACACCAAGGAAGAAGCGAGCGACGAGAAGACCGGGGAAGGTTTGGACTGTGGCGTGGCAGCAGAGGATGATAGCCCAAGCGAGACTGCGATATGTTAGTGGGAGAATGGTGTAAGATTGGAGAGTGCTTGCCTTGATCCAGCGAGGTACTTGCCGAGAGGCAGACGGACCATCAGCCATGACGCTGGGTAGCTGAAGGCGAGGTAGCCGAAGTAGAAAGCGCTGCTGCACCAGCTGTATCTCGATCCAACGAGATCCTGATTTTGTCAGTGGATATTAAGCACGTCTCGATCGATGTATACTGACCAGGTCGTCGATGATGCCCATGATGGAAGAAAAGTTAAGCGACTGCTTGTCAAGGAACTGCAGTGTATAAGACACGAGCAGAAGGGGCATAAGGCTTGGCACCAATGTTAGAACTCTTCATCTCTAGTTGAAGGTCAACTTACCAAAGATCAATCCTTCTCAAAACCTTTCGTCCCCTATAGTGGTTATCGACTCCCTCCTCTGCAACCTGCATCGACCCCTGAAGACTCAACGTCTCACCCATCTTCGCATCAGGGTCCTGAGCAGGAATGTTGATCTTGTCTTCTCTATCAGAAGCCATACTGTCAAAAATCTCTTGCAAGTGTTGAAATAAGAAAATAAAGAGTAAGAGTTGATGATTGACGGTAAAAGGGAGGACTGCAAGCCAGTTAAGTAGATATCCAAGCGAGCATCTAGACCAGTGGCTTTATCTCTTGATCCCAAGTAGTCTCCACCCCCGCATAAACTCAAGATAAGTCTGGGGATACTATCTCAGCACTGACGTTTTGATCAAGGAGAGAGATACCATTCACGCCTGAAAAATTGAAGTCATTCCACTACCCGTTTGAAAGAGCCGTACTGCTAGTTTCTCCAGCTCGGATATCGTTCGACGCTCATTGGTTGAGTCGGCAAGTAAAGGTTTAAGCGTTGCCGATTGGTTGACTCGGCAAATGATAGTGCTGTTGTGACGGACCCGACTCCTTGGGAAGCGCCGGAATGCGGGGGGAGGCGAAGATTTGGTAGTTGTTAGTTAGTACGCCGATAGTTGGCCATGATGATTCCGCGGCGAAGATAATGACAATGCATTATCTTCATTGTCAGAGACATGCATATGCGGTCTTATCACATGGATGGTATCAGCAGTGACTTGAAAGGAAATTACTACGCGATATCATGCCCCCTTCGATAACAACGGAATTAAGATGACATAACAGTATAACCAAGGCTTCATTATCTCATGATCTAGGTGATCTAAAGTCTATAACCAATCGGCTCAACATCCCTCTTAAACTCATCTCTCGCTTGATCCATCAACTCTGTCTGAAGCAGCATCTCGCAAGCCGTAGCTGCCAATCCCTTTGCACAATCTAATGCTCTCTCAAATGCTTCTCTTGTTCCAGCTGCTTCTGCAAACTTGGGTGTATGGGGTTGCACCAAAGGATCTTCTGTCCCAACGGCGAACATGGGATGAATGCCCGGGACACAGTATGTAACGTTGCCTAGGAATGTTAGTAAAGCTGAGGATTGAGGAGGTAGCAGCGGACTTACCCATGTCTGTTGATGCGCCCATTGGTGGTTGGTTTGCATCTCCGATATAATCTCGTCCAAAGGCTTCCATGTGTTTTGTAAACTCATTCGACATGGACATATTGGGTCGAAGCTCCATGTAGTCTTGGTCTCTGGGAGTTCATTAGTATAGTTCTCGCAACCCATCTAGTAATCTTGACTTACGATTCGCAACTGCACTGCACTTGACAACCCGTAGCGATCGCCCCGGCCTTGAAACAAGCCTCTACCCTTCCTGTAAGCTCTTTGATCTGATCAGCCCCAGCCGCTCTCAAATAATACTCCAAATTCGTTGAATCAGGAATAATATTCGGCTCAGCACCTCCACTTCTGATAACACCGTGAATTCTCTCTGTAGGCTGAATTTGCTGCCTTAGCAGAGAGATATTCACATATGATGAAACAACCGCATCGAGTGCGTTCTTCCCATGCCAAGGTGTATTCCCCGCATGTGCATTTTGCCCCGTAAAAGCCACTTTCATCTGCCTCCTTGCACTGGACCTCGCCGCCGAAACACCATCTACATTCTTCTCTCCCTGCGGCGACAGCCTCCCCGTTGGATGAGCCATCAGACACGCATCTACGCCCTCGTACGCACCAGCTTTGATGAGGTGGACTTTTCCACCGCCACCTTCTTCAGCTGGTGTTCCGAGGAGGCGAACGCGGCCGGGAATGTTGAGGGAGCGTATCGTTTCGGCGGTAGCAATGAATGCGGCGATGGAGCTTGTTGCGATGAGATTGTGGCCGCAGGCGTGGCCTAGACCGGGGAGCGCATCGTACTCTGCGTTGAAGACGATAAGTTTGCCGTTCTGGCCGGATTCGACTTCGAACGAGGTTTGGATGCCGTAGGCGGAGCGCTTGACGTTGTAGCCGAGACGGTGCATAAGATCGCAGATGTTGTCGTGGGCTTTGAACTCTTTGTAATTGAGCTCCGGGTTCTCATGGATCTAGAAACATTAGTGAAGTTCCCCCAAAGCTGTCCAGGTAGTGCGGTGTACCTTTTTGCAAATGTCTGCCAAGTCCTGCTCATGATGAGCTACAGACTTGGAGATATTTTCGTAAACCTGCTCGTTGGAAGACATCTTGCGCTGCTCGAATTACAATGAAGTCACGGAGTACCCCAGGAAATAAACTACCCCGGGCTTGGCCAGCTTATAAGAAAGAAGCTGCGGTTCTAGCTCATGCGGGTCATGACACAATCCGAGCTGAATTTCATGACGCCCGTTGCTCGCATGAATCAGGAAACTCCGCGAGACAAATAGTGTCCCGATATGGCTATTTTCGGCTAGTTTTTGGGGCAGCTTACAGGGAGCTTCAGGGGGTCTGTGTGGCAGTTTTCCGACGGGGAACGTTGACCGACCGACGGCCACTAAATTAGCCGAAGGATCCAATGAGAACTTGGGAATGTGTTATCACCGTTGAGGCTGGCGGAGGACAAGATTTTCTCGGGGAGGATCAACAAGCTGGTAATGACCCTGATAATGCCGATTCTGTTGCTGAAGGAGATAACGACGTTGCTTGAGTTGATGGACCTGGTCTTAGATACTACGCAACTCGGATATACGGTTATAGAGCTGATATGATAGAGTGGACAATGCGACGTGAGCTGCAGAGACCTTGGAAATAATAATCAAGACTAGCTATTTCCGTACTAACACAAACTCAATTCATCGGTATCCCCTCCCGACATCCCTCGCTCATCCTTGGGAATGTCCCCCATGCAGTCATTATCACAAAATTTCTCCCCAATCCCAATCCCAGCCCCAATCTCCCCCGCAGCCTAGACTTTAACACCCTGACGAAGGGAAGAAAAAAAACTGATTCAGTTGCATGTTGCATCACAATTACACAATACACGATCCCATGTTATCTTCCCAGCGCGTCTGTATTCCCGAGTCATATCTCCGCCCGCCATGCCCTCCCCCATCGCAGATCGCCGAAAAGCGCGTTCCAAAAACGGTACGCCCGGAACACCACATCCTTTCCGATATCGCTGCTAACAAAAATATTCATCAAGGGTGTTTGACATGTCGTATTCGAAAAGTCAAGTGTGATGAGCAAAGACCCGTTTGCAAACGCTGTGAGAACAGTCCCAATAAGTGTGAATGGCTTGAACCAGGCCAGGCACTTAGTGCAAGGGGGAAAAGAGTTGAGAGTCCTGCGTATGGGAGTCCGCGGTTACTGGCGTCGAGTGAATCGCCTGCGAGTTTTGATTCTGGAAGTCCTGTTTCGCCGGCGAGCGGTCATGACTTTCACTTTCCACGGTCGCATTTATCAGCGGCGCATATACCGCTTGCGAATTCACTGCAGCTGAGTGAGCAGGACAGAGCGGCTTTTGCATATATCCCTTATTCGACTATGGTGTTGAGTTATGGAAAGCTCTGGCAATGGAGTAACTTTTCGTACATCTATTCAAACATCGCGAATGTGTATCCTGGCGTGATGAGGAGTTTCATCGCAGTCGCGAACATGGAACTGCGAGCGAAGGAGCTTCTTATCGCGCAGGAGGTGGTTGATGCGAGTGCCTCGTTGGAGAGAGCGAGTCGCCTTGCGGCTGCGGCGGCGGTGCATTATACACAAGCGCTAAAAGATCTGTCATCGTTGTTGGATCGGATTTGTCAAACGCCGGAGCAGGACTGTGATGTGGATGCGCTGTTTACGATGTGGTTTCTGATCTTGAGATATGAGGCTTGTGATTCGGAGACTACGGGAGCGTCGTTGCTGCACCTCGATGGAATACGGTTGTTTTTGGGGCCATATTTGCGAGATGATGGACAGGCGACCGGGAAGAAATTACCGTGCGTTGCACAGGCGATGCTGCTGTATACATTGTGAGTTCACTGACTGTAACAACGGTGTTATCTACTCACAGATATAGATACCTCGACGCGGACTCAGCGACAGGCAACATGAACAGTGGACAGTTCTGTCTTGACTTTTTATCACGCGACGCTCACGATTACATCTCACATGAACACCTTTTCCTGAGCGTTCGATCAGCTCTTCCCAAGATGTGGGGTGAACAATATCCTATATCAGAACTCCTCGACGATATGGAGAATTATCGCCCTCTCCGCTTATATCACCTCTGTCAAGGATCTAAACTTGAGCTTCTCAGACTAGCACGGTCAACGACAGACGGTGGATACGACGATCTGAAGAAACTCTGGCGGCATGTTGAAAACTTTGGTGATGTATGACAGCTCATCCCATATATCCATGTAAGATAACTAACGACAACAGGAATTCGCCGATATCCTCCTCCTCGCCAAAAAAACCCCCAGCTCTGGAGGGAAGCGCCTCATGTGGACAGTCTACGCCGCCGCCCTCGACTTTCACGCACTGCAGATCCTCTGCTCCAGCCTAGACACCTATAACGAAACACCCTTCAAGCCCGAGCCCTCCCTATCATTCATCTTCAGCGTCGCCACAAAAGCCCTCGAAGAAGATCCCCGTCAAGTCTACCGTTTCATGTGGTCGCTCTCCGTAGCACTCAGCAAGACGAATCAGGCTTGGTTATCTACGCAGCTTGCAAAAGCAAGGATTTTACTACCGAGGTTTGGAGTTCCGGGGTTGATACTTAAGCAATGTGGGGGCCTAAGTGTTAATAATGAGGGAGCCCAGTAACTCGTCTTTACTTATACGGATATTGTAATTAAAAGTTTATAGATTTGGCTTCTAAACTTCTACGTTGAATGATTCCTTCAGCGGGAGGGTGCGGCTGCTAGAGCCGACGAAAATGGTGTAGTTGCCTGACTGAAGAGTCCAAACTTGCTTAACGACGTCCCAAACGCTCAAATCACGTCTTGTGAGCTCAAATGGAATATCAACAGATTCTCCCTTGCTGATCTTGACTTTCTCAAAACCTCGGAGCTGCTTGGGTGGACTGTTCGGAATAGCGACGTAAAGTTGAGCAACTTCCTCACCATCTCGCTTTCCGATGTTGGAGACGGTGGCTTGAACGGCAGCAAACGTACTCCAGAGATCGTCATCAGCAGCTGAAGCACTTGTCTCGGCAACCTTGACTATCAAGTCAGAGTACTCGAACTCGGTGTAGCTAAGGCCGTACCCAAACTCAAACCTTGGGGTGACATCCCGATCGTCGAAGGAGCGATAGTCAAGATACACGCCTTCAGTAAAATCGCACTGCGGATCCTTGCTCCCCTCTTCCAGTCCGCATGGCTTGTAAGGAGTATAATCACTCTCGTTCTTGGCTAGGGTATACGGCAACTTTCCTGAGAAATCTGCCTCGCCATAAAGAAGTTTCACAAGCGCCTCGCCACTGTCCTGACCTGGAAGATGCGCGATGATAGTTACTGTGACGTTGGGATGTTCGATCCACTGATCAACCAGACGAATACCTGCTGCGTGGATCGTAACGACTGTGTTGGCGCATTTCGATGCCACGTTGAGGATCAGAGCGTCGCTGAAGTCGTCGTGAAGACCATCGCGGTCCCAACCTTCTGTCGCCATGGCGTTGATGAAGACAAGACAGACATCAGTTGCGCCGTTCACGTCGGGGTTAGAGGATGAAAGGTCCCAGTTTACCCAAGTTCCATCCTTGGCGGCTCTTTGCTGAATCGCGCTGAGGGGCTGTATTTCGTTAGTGGACCTCTTCGAAGGAAGAGAGAAGACTTACATCGCTGATATATGGCGGTGAGTTAGCAGCCGCCCTACCGCCCGAAACAATCGTTCCCCCCTTAGCAGCTTGATCAAAGTGCTCTTCAGTACCAAGAACAGCCTGACCCATCTCGGGCGAGGAAGTGTAACCCAACTGGAAAAGATTATCCGTATTCTTCGTCTTGGCAACGGTGGCATCATATCCAAAGACAGAGATCGTCTTGGGCTTTTGAGCAAAGGGGAGGGTGTTATTTTCATTCTTGACGAGAACATGGCCCGCGATAGCGCCCTCCAGTAAAGTTGGTCGCGATTCTGGAATGCGAGCTTCGACTTGTTCATGGGGAAGGGAAAGGTTCTTCATTCCGATGCCGGGGGTTGGAAAGTCGACGTCTTGGCCAACGAGGTACCAAGCAGCCAGAATTCTGCCACTGTTAGCAGACACTCACTCTGTACTTGGGATTACACACCTTGTAGCCATATCCGTAACCCGATCCTCCTTGACAGTCCCATTCTTAACAGCCATTGTCAAATTCTCTCCCCAATTTCCGCCCATCGGCATGACCATATCAAGGCCCGCATTCGCACTCTCAAGATTATGCTGCGCATTCCAATCCAGCAACACAAACCCCTCGAATGCAAGCTCAGTCTTGAGAAGTCCATTCATGAGCTTGCTGTTCTCACAGGCATATGTTCCGTTGACGCGGTTGTATGAACACATCACTGATGCTACGCCTGCTCTTACAGAGTCAACAAAGGGCCAGAGATAATACTCGTGAAGAGTCTTGTCGTCGACGTTGGAGGATACTGCTTCGATGCCAAAGTAAGGGCGGCGATAGGTTTCTTGCTCGTTGGCGATGAAGTGCTATGGAGGTTAGTGGTGGTGATGGATGGGAGGGGGTAACTGACTTTGACGTTGGCGATGACTCCGGCGTCTTGATGCCCGATGATGGACTCTGCGCTGAGTTGGCCGGTGAGATACGGATCAACCGAGAAGCCCTCCCAGTTTCGTCCACCAAGCGGTGTTCTCCCCAAAGGTCCAACATTTGGACCAAGAAGGACGTTCACTGGCCATGATCAGTATGAGAAGTGCACCTCGGTTTATGTACTCACCTCCTTTGGCCTTGAATTCCTTCCCCATATAATACCCTCGCTGATACGTCAAGTTCTTATCCCAACTCGCCCCAACATGCAAAGCAGAAGGATACGAGTTAACAAAATCTGTCGCTCTCACTCCATTGCCCGCATCATGGAGACACAAACCCGGCCATCCAAGACGCGGAATTGTACCCGTGTTACCAGCGCAAACATTATCAGCCGCAAAACCACGCGTGACGTTGACTTTCTCCTCGAGCGTCAATCGATCAACAAATTGCTGCGCTTTTGCATACGCATCTTTCCAAATTCCTTTGCCAGTTCCTTGCGCTGTCAAAGGTTAGCTTAGCGCCATCAGGGGTCAAAGTTACTAGGCGGATCTTACGCGATGGATACTCTTCAGTCGGGATCTCAGCGGGGAGAGAGAACGAAGACGTGACTTGGAGCGCAAGACACAATATTTTGGTCGACCACATCATGTCTGGCACTACCTCACAGAACCTCATCTTGGCAAAGAGCGGAGGTGTTGTTGCTTTGTATTTATCAGTTTATCGCGTTACCTGAGCTTTGTCGCATGAACAGCGAATAAGCCGGTGATTAGCCGACAGGCTCCGTAAATACGTCATTGGACGAGGGTCGCGGAATCTCCGTTGTTCACCGCTTGCGGAATGGAGCCAATCGGGGAGTAAGCCGGTAGTACAGGGTATGTTGCGATGGATTTTGGAGTTGTGATCCGGGGCCCCGGAGGGTGATAGTCCCCCACGAACGTGTGTCTGTCATACTGTTGATTCAAGATCGTCAGATACTTGAATGAGGTTTTCCTTGACTTCTTTTGGCTATATTTATTAGTTTAACCGGATGCAACGTTGCCCTCGGCGGTTCGTTAGCTTGATTGAACTAGCCACGCATTGTTCTTGCTGACTTTGAGAAGTACTCAACTGGTCTACAATCAAAAACCCATCTCAAATCAATATCTTATGTCAATTGAACTGACGTAGGTCAACATAATATGTAATAATAAAGTCAGGCCAAATCAGCCGCGACAAGGGAGCTAAATGCTCCACAGGATCATCTAGATCAAGCGTCAACACTACTTCCAAATGCTTACCATCGTGACTGACACTTATAAATTGACGTGGCACGTTGACAACAATGGTAGATGCACTTTGCTGCACCTCGATGTCCGGCTGTCTCGAAAGTCTGAATGCTTCCAGATGGTCCCCAATATTTCCAGCCGCTGTTGGCGATTGATATAAGCCTCAACACTCGCATCGTGGGGGTTGCAGTCACACAAGGACGGGCAACTCGCGCTTTTCTTCGGTCTACAAAATGCAAGCGTCGCAGTAAACCGTCTATAGCTGACCTGCCCTTCTCTGTTCCCAAAACGAGGCTGTCATCACGCCCTGTTTTGGCGTTGAGCGCGAAGCGAATGGCACGTAAGACGTAGTTGGCTGATTGAGTTGCTCATTATTCGCCCAGAAGAGTCTGCTGACGAACGCCCTCGATTTTGAGGCCCCTAAAAATGCAGCACATTGATGTAGTCTCTGTGTACACAATTGTGTGGACCAATTAGGTGAGTTCATATCGAGATTAATCTGAGGCTCTTTGAAGTACCTTCAAGCTGTGTAAAGTTCATATAAATTCAAGTCTCTGTCGCCTATGCTATGCTATGGTCAATAAGTCCCAAGTAATACGCCATGGCTACTGCTGGTCCATCAAAATACCGCTTGGTCACAGACCAAGCCCCGTCGGCACAAAACTCTCACTTGGCAGATTCTGCTAGACAATCATCACATAGCATTCGACTGGGGAGTCCCTCGACATGCCAATATCCTACCGGGATACCGAAACCATCATTGGAACCGCCATCAAGACATCGACGTTACTCACGCACTTCATCGGTGTCTTCATCAAAGTCATCATCTGGGCCGTCACGATCATGCTCACCTGACAGCAGCTCTGCGAGCTCTGTTCAGGAAGTTAGCATTGCTGACGAAGAAGTCAAAGAACCAGAGCCAGACTTACCAAAAGCACCAGAACATTTCAAGAGAGCTTTCAGTGTCCCCAAAACTTTATTTGATATTTATGAGACCTCTCGAGAATGGCACTTTGGCTTTGCACCTATGCACAATGTGCACGCTCTGGTGATGGCGCTCCATCAAGCGAACCTCAAGCGTGAAAATGCTGAACAACAGGTGAGAGATCTTACCCAGCGTCTACGTTCAGTCGCGCAACCAGGACCGGAAATCCAGCCCTCAGAGCATGAACTTTCAAAAATAGAAAATGTCACTCCTGCGAAACTTCGCAGAAAGCGATGCGCAAGAAGAAAGGAGTTGATTGAGCACCCAGGCAACATATCGCTTAAAGAGAGGTTTGAGAAATTGGCGGGTTGGAGTGAAGAGGTCGAGGCAGACATTGACGCTGCTCAGGACCGCAATACGTTACTCTTTAATCAGCTTGGAGAAGCAGGCAAAGACATAAAAAGACTGGAGGACGAGAAGTTGTCTCTCAAGGACAACGAAGAAAAACTTGAAAAGCAACTCGAACAGAGCCGCAAAGAGAGTACGATGGCCGATGATGTTCGAACATCTCCGGCCCCAGGAGTTAGGCCCCTACAGGATCCAGCGTCTCGGATTGATCAAGAAAACCGGATCGCTGAGTTACAGCGGGAAGTTGAGCGGCTCCGGCAAGAAAACGACAAGATCAGAAACGCTCTCGAGCAACCTCAAAGCCAAGATAGCCCTCCAGAGAAACTAGAGGAGCAAAACAATGACGCAACTCCAGAAGAGGCACAACTCAGGAGTGCAGACGCTGGAATTGAGGTTCCAACCACCGATGTCGAGATGGGAGGTATCACGACCGGACAAGATTCCACGACACCACAAGATATCGAGACACCAGTGATGCCAGTGGCACCTCCAGCAGCGCCAGAAGCAGAAGAAACCGTGGTTTTATATCCACAGCGACTCCTCAACAGTGTCAATCGACACCCAAGAGAGAGCAGCGATAAGGCCAGACGTGGACGAGACAGCCGACGACGAAGACGACGGGAGCAGCAGAGGAGATTAGAACGAGAAGAAGAAGAAGCCCAGCAACGGCAGCAGAGAAGGTCAGAAAGGGAGGGAGATGCTCGGCGACCTCACAAACATCACAGAAAGCCTCTTAAAGTATACAAACAGAAAAAGAAAATTCTGTCGCCACTCGGATGGGTAAGATATCGTCGAACATTGATGGATTTTCTTTCACTCAGCCATATGTTTTCCTCGTCGCTTGAGCTATCGTAGCGGATCGAAGTTAAGTTTCCCATATCTTCTCTAATACTTTCGTTCTTTGTTATGGTATGTAATCATTTCCTGCAGCACCTACTTTGTCGTCGTTTCTTTGACTCAACACTCAAGTCAATCCTTCTAATGTGCAGGCTGAGATCGGTTTTCCTTATTGATCGACTTTCCTATCCTCTCGTAGATTGATACTTAATGAGAGAGAGGCTACTATTACCAATAGAAAAGATGCAAATGATCGGGATATTGCCCCGCTGTGATTCAAAGGCAACGTCGGCATGTAGTCGGCATCCGCGGGAGGTTATCGGGAACATCCTGAACTCTATACTGTGACGTTTCATGCGGCGCAGATAAGCAGCAATGCCCACTCTGATGTCAGTGGTCAACTCCGCTTACCTCAGACGGTGACACCATCTCGAAGGAATTTCCTGTTCTAGAGACTGTTCCTCATCCTTTTCGCTTTCGTCTTGAACGCCCTGGCTGGTGTCGTGTTTGCAAAAGCGTAGCAATCAGGTATTTTGACAGAGTGGGTTAGATCTATCCTGCGGGATACTGAACTTGCCGACCAAATCAACGAATATTTGACGCTTCAAGCCGCTAAAAGATGACATCGCGCAACCCCGCAAGCCTTGTGCCTCCACTAATGAGTTTGCGGAAGTATGCTGCGATGGACCAATAAGATGGCATTTAATGGACATGCAAGATCCCAGCAACTTCGGCAATTCCCTCTCGGATTAAAGTTTACTGCTACCTTACGAATTGTGCGGCGGGCGAAGTGTATAAAGACCTGTTACACCCAGTAAAACTTGCTTTGCTTACTTCTGCAACCAGCCGTCATGTTGTCTCGTCTCATTGAGCTGTCGGAGCGCGCTCCAAAAGACTTCACCTTAGCCCTAGGCTTCTCAATTCTCAGTGCTCTTTACCTTCTGCGACGCTGGCTACTCCCCAAGCCAATCCCCGGAATCCCGTATAACGAAAATGCGGTCAAATCCTTCATGGGCGATATCCCCGAGTTCAGGGATGCTCCCAATCGTCGAGAATGGTGGGCGCAGCAACCTGCTCGGCACCAATCGCCTATTGTTCAGGTCTTCATGAGACCTTTCGGCGCACCGTGGGTCTTCGTTGCGGATTACTTTGAGTCATCAGACATTTGTATGCGTCGCTTGAAGGAGTTTGATAGAAGTAACGTGACATGGGAGCAGTTCAACGGCGTTGTACCAGGCCATCACATCACATTGAAGTCATCGGACCCAAAGTTCAAGAAGAACAAGGAGTTGATTCGTGATTTGATGGCGCCAAATTTTCTTCATCAGGTAACAAGACACTTAATATGCATCAGAGCGTTCGCTAACTTGGATAGGCCTCGGCTCCAGAGATCCACGACAAGTTCAGTGTTCTTCTCAAGCTTTGGGACCGCAAGCTTGACTTATCAGGCGGCAGACCATTCGATATAGCCCAGGACATCCACAACTCAGCACTCGATATTATCCTCGGTGCTTCCTTCGGTATCGACTCTGGAGACGGACAAATTGGCAGACAACTCGAAGAGCTCAAGACGAAAACCGTTTCAGGTGGAGAAGATGACCTCTTCGAGTTCGAGGACGTTTCTATCGACGAAGAACAGAGCTGCTTCACCACTCTTGCAGACAGTGTCGGTCTCTCAATGAGGTCGCCTCTTCCCACCATTCATCACTTCCTCTACCGCAATCTGTCCCCCAAAATGCGACGAGCAAGAGCGGGGCGTGATAGATTGAGGGATCGTGAGATTGCCAAGAGCATTGAACGGAGAGAGTCAGGTCAGCCACAACGCTGTGCTTTGGATAATATGCTTGCGAGAGAGGATGCAATTGCCGAGAAGGAAGGGCGGAAGCCGAACTATCGAAGTCAAACAATTATGAGCGAGGTATGTGACCATTTAGGTATGTGCAGTGATTTTGCTGACAGTTTGAAGCTGATGGGATACTTGGTCGCCGGACATGAAACAACATCCGCTGTTCTCCGATGGGGAATGAAGTACATGACTGCTAATCAACGTGTGCAATTACTCCTCCGTGAAGCCATCGTGAACGCACATCCTCAAGCCAAAAAGGACAACCGTGTCCCAACAACTGAGGAGATCCTCAAAGCTCACATCCCCTACCTCGACGCCGTCACCGAGGAAATGCTTCGACACTCCCGCGTCGCCCCCGTCACTCTCCGCCAAGCTACAGTCGACACCCAAATCCTGGGAAAATTCATCCCCAAAGGAACAACCGTTGGGTTTCTCGGCAACGGTCCAGGCGTCGTCATGCCCACTATCCCCGTCACCACCAAGAGGTCCGAAGCTGCTTTAGCACACATGGAAAGGACACAGCTCTTTGATGACGAAGACCTAGCGCAATTCGTTCCCGAAAGATGGCTGACGACAAGTGTCAACGATAAGGGCGAGGAGGAGACCGTGTTTGATCCGCAGAAGAGACCGGCTCAGGCATTTGGACTGGGGCCTCGTGGCTGCTTTGGCAAGAAGCTCGCTTATATCGAGATAAAGATATTTATTACTTTGTTCTTCTGGGTGTTCAAGCTGGAGCCGATTAAACCTGAGCTGGCGACGGAGGATGAGATGCTCGCGTTGACGCGATCACCGAAGAATGTGTACGTCAAATTGGCAAAGGTGTAATCCCATATAGATTGTATTGTCATGTTGGAGACTGCGATAGGAGTTTTATAAGTGCAGATAAAGCGCAGTGGTACAAAACATATAACAACGATTATTTGCTAATCGTCACTGTCCTCAGTACTAATCCGCCTCTTATCAGCTTCTCTATAGAAGAGAGAAAGGGTGCGAACACCATTTCCAGTCTGGGAGTGAGGATACTTCGCTTCGTGATAGACTGATGTTGAGACTGGGCCGAGAAACTTTTAGTCCTACTTTTAAAAGCACGTAGATCTAGCACCACCACCGTATTTTAGTTCCGATTTGGCCAAGGCGTTCTTTCCAATAGCTTTTATTAGTATTAGAAGTACGTAACTGTAGTGAACAGTCGCTCCACGACATTGACATCTGGCTTTGCCTCACTACTGGGCGAAAAGTCTTGGAATTGCACTCAATGAAGGTTTGGGTATGTATGTAGGCATGTCGATTGTAGCATTTCCTCGACACACAGCTAACTAGTTAATCCCTATGTTTAACTTTTGCATGCTTCTCAAAACCCATAATAAGGTCAGTTCAAGCTGCTCAACGAAAACCTGGTGCCTTTAGAGCGAGCACTACTGGTAATATTAAAGCAATTCGGTGGCCCCTGTTTGATCTGGGGTGCTAAGACTGCCTACATACTTGCCCAAAGCCTTTTCCTGGCTATGTATAGAAAGAGGATGTTTACCAGCTGCGCCTCGGCCAACTTTATGGGTTAGTGGTTTGCTTTGCCGAGACCCGCACAACCGAAGGACCTTCTACATGTAGAAGTACCCCTCGATCTCACACCCTACCGGCTTTACTAGCCAACAGCTGAAACGCAATATTATGCAGTTGGTTGATAAGTCGTAGGGGTCAGCCAACATATGGTCAAAGCGAGCAAATAAAAGAGACAATAAAAAAAAGACTAAACCCCAGGAAGATAGGCGAAAGCTCCTGCAACGGAATTGACGCCGAATCTCTTGCTGTACGTACCAGGGGTAGGCTGATTAGCTGCTCTATATATAGCTGCGTGATTTTATCCCACGTAACTGTTTCCACTATCTATATTCCCTCATACCAGTATACCATCTCTGTTTCTACCGCAATATGACTTGGGATCGATATGAACTCGGCCGAAGGAACATTTTCTACGATGAAAAGAAACCCTTGATCCCGGTCAATGTGTTCCCTCCGCACGTAGAACGCGTACGGAGATTAGTCACAGACCTTTCTTGTGTAGTCAATGGAGAAGGCTTGATCAATAAGAATGAGCTTATTTCTGATGATAAGCTGAAGCCTTTACTAGATGGCGCGAATCCAGATCCTGCCCTAGTTGAGGCGCAGAAGACCTTGAGCAAGTCGCACAGTCTCGTTAACGGTGGCTACAAAGAGGACGAGTGGCAGGCTTTCTACGCAAAGCACTTTTTTGAGAGACTAGACGATTCTCTTTTATTATCTAAAGATGATACTAGACGGTAAAGTTATTATAAAATCCAGTTGGGAATTAGAGCTGACGGAAAACTCAAGCGTGTCATATAATAAATATTATCATGACGCAGTTAAGAGGTATGCAGACTTATGTTTCTATTTTATTCACTAGGAAGCTAACTTGATCGTCAAGAGAGACCAATAGGCGCTGGGACCTCTTTAGAAAAGATGAGAAGGCCGGAATAGCGCCATTCAAGATCCTCAGTAGTCCTCAACCAGACCACGCTTTCTTCTTTCCCATTTATCACAACCGTCATCCAGCCGGGATTCCTACTGTGGTAGACCCCAATGCTAGACAGTGGAACAGGGCTCAAGAGACATCTGCTATGGAACCGTTTACATGGTCAACGCTTAAGAGATTACATGGATTCGGCCTCGAACCAGCACCTTCCCACGTTTTTGAAAAGCCACCACTGGAAGCCAACCTCAAATGTTATCCTTGGCTTGTAGTTGAATATAAGAAAGAGACGCAGGACGACGGGCCCGTGAGAGACGTGTGTTGCCAGGCCGCTAATGCTGCAGCATGCGCGATTAGTTTGATCAGGCACACAGCTCAGTTTGCTGTGAAACTACCCAAACATGCGCATATTCCCCCCATACCCGTCATCACCACTATTGGGCCTAGCGTCAAAGTGTGGATTATGTATTATGCTACAGATTTCGACGCTCCGTGCTGCCACCGAGAGACTACAGAGGAAATAGTGAAGAGACGCAAAGAGGGACATGTAAGTCTATCTGTCGATTTGGCTTCTCTTAGCTAACTTGAATTGAGATCATGCGCGTTATTTGGAGCGGCGAGATGACCAAGCTTGCTGATATTGTTATGTTTCAAATGATCCTTGATAACGCGCATACCTGGGCCGCACGAGCTTTTAAGCCTTTGATGGCTTCGTACATCGAACAATGGCAATATGTTTTCGATGAATCAACTGTCAGCGAAAGTTCAGGCCATAATTCGGCGTTCTTTCTGTCAAAGAAACGCCGCGAGAAGACAATTGAGCAGCGACGAGCTATTGTCCCGCTAGTCCAAGGCCTGCTAGATGACCAAGCTACCATGGAGCTTGATGGCATGGCCAATAAGAAGGTGACTCCTTTACTTCTAGGCCTAATGATGCACCAAATCTACTCGTTAGAGAAGGAATTGATAGCCAGTGAAGTTGATAGAGTCGTATCTCAGAAATTAGAGGGGTTGTCCATGGGGGGACTGGCACCCGGGAAGCAGTATAGTTCCCGAGGGGAAGAGAACTCCCGATCCCAAGCGCACTCTGACTGCGGTTCTGATCATCAAGAGTCCATTTTCGGGTCACGCCAAACCAGCCAATACTTGCCACTTGACATCGATGACCCGAACGACTCCGACTACAGGCCGTCACAAGATTCTTCAGCTTCAGTCCAAACGACATCCTTTGTGGCTCTTGCGGCTCCTCAATCAAATGCTACAGATGCCTTACCTTCGACGTATGAGTTTTCTTTCAATAGCTCGGCACGGGTTGTCTCAAAGGATGCGCAAGTCCAGTCATTGGGACCGAACGCGGATCGCCCATTTCATAGCCCCAACAGAGATGGACGAGAAACTCCATCTACTCCTGGGGGCCAAGTTACCCCAAAGGCGAGTCCCTCAACACTGTTCTCCACGGTTTTGTCTACGCTTTCAACTTCTTCAGATGGAGAAGTATCACGAGAGATCTCCAAGGGAACAACACCTTCTAGATTACCAGTCGTCACTGGTCCATTATCACTTGGAACGCGGGGACGATCTCCTGGGCGGCAACTTGGCCTACCATATTCTCTACATCCTCTTATGGAAAATGATGGCGAGAATAGTAAAGCTCAGGGCGCAGGTCAAGATGAGAATGACTATATTGATTTGACAAGAGACAGCCAGGAAGATGCTTCGTAGGGTTGAGCTTAGCGACAGGTACTATGTAGTCATCCCAGTCCCGCGGATTAGAACATCGTTTGTCAAACATAACGACAGTAATCAAAACAGAAGATAGTTATTAGATGGGATCCCGAATTGTCCATCAGATGTGATCGTGCGTAATTGAACTAGTCTTTAGGTAGTACATCCTGACTCCGGCCTTCTAGACTTGATGGATTCTCTTCAATTCGTCACATCGGTTGCTGATCATGCTCGCCTATTTGTGATACATCATAATCCAACAATCCAAACCAATTCCGGCTGCCAGACATCCGATCCGTCACCTGAGCTTCTTCGGCAAATACAGGCATGTTGTCCGTTCCCACGTTGGTGTCTGCTGCTTGATTTGCCACTGACAAAAATCCGAGTTGGCTAAGATAGGTATCGAACTCGCCTCCGATGTCCTCCATGGCATCTTCTTGCTGGTGTGACTTGGCCTCAACATACAAAGCCGCAACGTCGCTTATCCACGACAAAGCTTTGCCAGCTTCGCCGTGAACTCTGAAGCATTGTCGCATCATTGGATAGATGTACTTGTAAAAGCTCGAGGTCCTCCGGCGCGAGCGTCTCGATGACATAGCAAAAGAGGATGAAGAAAGGAGCGAATGGTGTCAGCACCAGATTGCTCCGTAATATTAGCTGTTTCTGACGCGTAAAAAAGGGCTCATAACCTGCATAATCTCACCGATGGATATAGCTCGTCCTGGCGAAGGCATCGTTCTGTAATGATGCAATACACTCCAAATGCGCATATGTCGCCCTTCTCGCCGTCTCAATGCACTCGTAGGAGATTCTGCTTCTTGACCCTTCCGGTGCGGGGATCGACTGATATATAAGCGTCAAGGTCGATAAGAGCTGGACCTCATCACTCTTGACATATATGTCGGCCAAGGGTGATGTTTTCATCTTTTCGAGTGAGGCAATAACTAATTCTCGGCTCTCTTTAGCCTCTACCTCCATCTGGTGGCATTCGTGCGCCAACAGCCGTGCTCGCTCGGCTATCTCAGCCGTCCCGCGGGCCAGGGCTGCCGGGCAGAGTCTACTTATGTTAGCAATCAGGTTTCACATGAGGCAAATGTACTAGATACCACCTACAATTGCTCATATACACAACTCTGGAATAATGCGACGCGAAGCCACGTAGCGGTGAGAGCGCGAGTTTCCAGGCTCAGATTTCCGTGGAAATTAAAAGAGTCGGGGAGTCTCGTAATGCCATGGTGGCAAAAGCACAATCAGTTTACTAGCCAGCTAGCTTCGAACTTGACGCACTTGTGTTCCTACTACGCGTGATAATATCTCTAGCATAATGACTTACAGACGAATCAGGAAAAGGCGGCTCAGCAGTATTGTTTATTTACGTAGCTGGTCTCGATATCTACCCGAATGATATCTTAAGCTAGACTGCCCCAGGGTTCTGGTAGGTATACTCTGGTGCTCCACTCCACTGAAGATAGCCATTGCTTCCGAAGAAATGCTTATCATCGCCCAGCCAGCCTCGGATAAATGTTCTCTGAAGTCCTCTTGGCTGCTTCTTGCCCTGGAATCTGTCGTTGAGCCAAGCCATCCAGAGGCTTCGGACACCTGAGATGATTGGAGTATGACCGAACTTATCGACGTACATATAACTCAGAGAGCTCTTAGGGTACAGGCTTGCGGTATCCGTGACAGTTTTGTTGGTAGTCGTGGCTGCGATGAAGACATCCTCGGTACCCTGAATCACCAAAAGAGGACCCGCGAAAGGCTTATCTCCGACAGTCCCGAGCTTGTCAAAGGCAGCGGCATGATAAGACGAACTAAACCAGTCCGGTTTCTCAAAAACGCTTTGCGATTCAGTGAAGAATAGCTGCTGTCCAGTTGCAACGCTCCCTCCGATCCGCTTCATCAGCTTCTGTCTCACGACACCCAGTGGGGTCAACCATTGGCTGGGCTTGAAGTCAGTGAATATGCTCGACAGAGCTATGGATGCACTGTAGCTGCTGAAGAGTCCAGGAGTAGTCAACGGCTTTGTGACGGGTGCAATCGAGATGGTGCCCACATAGCCCTTCAAGAGCTCCCCGAAAGCCTTTCTACCACTTGTATCTCTCCCTTTGGCTAGCGCCTCCGCTGCACCCCAAGCAATCCCACCGCCCTGGCTATGGCCCATGATGGCAAACTTCCCACTAAGGCGGTTGCTGAATGCCTCAAGCGCAGCTTCCATTGCAAAGAGAGTGTCTTGGGCACCAGCAGGAGTAGCAAAGTACTGATGCGGAATTTCACTCCCATCCCATGACTTGTCCACTCCGAGACCCGCAAAGTCCGGCGCAACAACAGCATAGCCTTCTTGCGCAAGTGACAAAGGGACCACGTTCTCGTAGTAGAGGCCACGGTGAGCCGAAGGCGCGGAGTCAATGAAGTAGCCCGACGTTCCATGGGCCCAAAGAACCGCGGCGGCTTTGCCGTTGGTCTTGAATTGACGGGGCAGAAACGGCCAGAGGATATAAGCACTGGCTGGGATAATCGTTCCGTTGAAGTTACGAGTGGTATAGAGGATTCTGCTCAGGGAGGATCCAGGCGCAATTGAGAATGGTGCTGGGTCTGTTACTTCCTGCACCTTGAGGACTTGACCAGCTCGAAGATCGGTTGGCTTTTCAGGGAGAGTGTAGAAGTCATCTTGTTTTGGACCACCATTCGCAAGACTAGATTGATGGAAATTCATGACGGTATTGATACTGTCTGCTACAGTTTCCGAGATGTTGGCTTCCTTGATCTGGGCAGCGGACAGGGAAAACGAAGAATTAAAGCCTGTCGAGAACGGTAAAGCTGGAGGAAGGCCTTGGGCTTGAGCGGCTCCTAAGAATGCGGCTGAAAGAAGTAGCGAGAAGATTGAAGATTTCATTTCGACTGTTCATTTTTGAGATCTGATGCAAACAAGAGGAATGGTTGAACTACTGAGCGTAAGCAACATCTTTATCTTATGGTTCCCATTCTGGTATGACAAATCAGCGACCCAATAACGTCATGTTCTCATCAAAGGATCTCGAATGTAACGAGATGTTCGTCTAAGTCATACCCATGCTGACAAACTCTAGTAATATGACCCTTGAATCCGCATAAAGTCCGCACAGAACCCGCCTCAGATCCGCAATTAGCCAAAGCCAAGCGTAAGCGTAATCAGCTGTCAACAATAAGCATATCACTAACGGCCATGACACAGTCAGCATCAAATGTTCAGAGAAAAGGTCGTTGTCTTATTTATCTCAAGGATGTATCATCTCATTCTCTCATTCCTTTCTCTGCAAGCTGCTTGGCCAACTTCTCCTCTCCCTCATAAAGACCATCATGTGACCCTTCAGCGACTACAGTAGGATATAGCGCTTCCATAGGAACCTCTCGCACATTGACCGAATTGCTCTCTCTATTCCCGATAAGAGCCGTCTCAACGATATTTCCATCACCGTATTTCTCTTCGGTGAGTACCTGGAACATGATATTTGCGCATTGTTCTGCGGTGAGTCCCAAAGTCGTCGGTGGCATTCTGTCACGGCAATACTCTGGATGAAAGATGGGCGTCTGAATAGATAGTCAGCGAAGGCCTTACAGGTAAGCTTCATGGTGAAAAGACTCACGTGCACGGCACCTGGACAGACGGCTGCGTTTCGAATGCCGAATCGTTTTCGGACCGTCGACAGCGATTTGACGAAACTGACGATGGCCGCTTTGCTAGCGAAGTAAAGGGGCGTCTGTAGGGAGTGCATGTATCCTCCACAGCTGGCGACCCAGAGGAGGTTGCCTTGCACGTTACGGTTCTGCAGCCAGTAGTCCATAGCAATCTGTGCCAATCTGATAGGACCCAGTGCATTCACGGCAAAGGTGTTGTAAACACCCGGATTACCGTCGGCCTTATCCTCAGCTAGAGAAGAGACTCCGGGAGGGTTCCAGAAGGTGCTTGATGGGGGTTCATAAATGCCAGCGCCGTTGCAGACGATGTCGACCTGGCCAAGCTTCTCAAGCGCTATGTCCCATAGAGATGAGAGCTGAGCCCAGTCACTAACATCAGTTTTGTGAAAGTGGACAGTGGGCTTGCCGCCCTCAGTGGTGGCCCATTTGTTGATGAGCTCCTCTGCTTCGGGGCGGAGCTTGAGATCAGCTATCACAACGGAGCACCCGTTCTCAAGAAGCTGCTGGGTGAAGGCAAGGCAAATACCTATGACTCGGTTAACTGACCACCCCGCAAGTAATGGACGAGATGATATGGCATACCAGAACCTGCGCCAGTTACAATGCCATTCTTGCCCTTGACGTCGTAGGCGGACATATTGATCAACTCAGTGTCAGGCGAAAACAGGTAACAATGGAGGGGCAAAAGCAAAGAAGACTCCCTGTTATCGAGGGACGTGCTTTATTTCTATCCTTGTTAAACCCCTCATTACCCTTGAGTTCAGCTCGTGGACCATTGGACCCTGGTATTCTAAAGCTGCACGTTTGAAACCCCATCACAATCGGTCTGGCGCTTGATTGGGATCTATCTTCAACGCGGGCTCTGAGGCTAATTTCATCGGGATTTCGAAGATGACTACGTTGCATTACACTCTTGCTCCCAGGATTTCTCCTTGATGAACTTCCGAGCGCTCATGGAAGACTGACTAATTGTGTGTTGCTTGTCAGCAAGATCATATCATCACGCCACACACAGTATCTCATGCACTCCCCTGACGCTCGCATAAATTCCCTGTTACGAAGTACTCAATCATTCGTGCACAAATCCGCCCAGATTAGATTAGCCCACTTCGGATACTCCCTCGCGTTGGCCCCGGGAAACAGCTAACCCCGATGCAGCGGCCAAGGAATCGCGGCGTGCAAGGGTTCTAGATCTGTTCAGGTTCAGTCTGGAGATGGTAACATTAACTTTGGGCTTGAATACGGTCTAATTTAGGATCATTTAGTAGTTTCTCGCAGAGTGTATGGTCCTTCAAGACGCGGCAGAAAGGAATTATGGCTTATGACTAGATTCGAGCTATGGCTGTCTTGGTGTCTCTTCTCTCATTCCCCTTCTGTTGGTTCTACAAGCTAGTGAACTTTAATTCCTGGCATCGGAAGCTGATGCTTGTCTTCCGGTGCATAACTGTCAGCATTTTGGCTAAAGCTCGACACGGTTGGTCATCCAACCGACCACGGTAATTACTCGCGGACATGAGCCATCTAGCTAAGTACTACTGTAGCCCAACTTACTCAACATTCAACGACTCTCTTTTTCGGATTGTTTTTCGCGTCATCATACCTGCCTGTTATGGCAGAGGCTTCGGAAGCATGGCACGCAGTCAAACCAACTGGTCTTGCTGCAGCTCTTCTCGCTACCGCCATCATATTCACGGCAATGATCATCGTTGTTGTCGGCTTGAGAATATGGGTCAGAGTGACGCATCACTGTTTTGGACTTGAGGATTGGCTCATGTGCATTGGAGCGACTCTCAACTTGGTTCACAATGGAGTCGTCATCTGGGGCAGTTTCACCGGCATTGGGACGCGAGACTCCAAGCTCAACGCAGCTATGGTGATGGAGGGTTTCAAGGTACATTTTCCAGATTTTCGTCGTGCCACTTCTGACCGTGTTTTAGGCTGTGACCTTTTGGCAGATCTTCTATATCAGCAACTCTTTGTTCATCAAGATATCCATCTGCGCTCAGCTTTTACGTGTCACAGATAACAGGAGAATAAAGATTTTTCTCTGGGGATTGATAACTTTGACTGTTCTCATTACACTGGTCGCAGGAATCATCGGCCTAGTCAGGTGCAGACCCCTCAGTGCATCTTGGGATTCTACCACAGGAACATGTATGGATCAGGGTATACTCTCAGTACTGACATACGTTGTGTCGGGGATCAATATCGTGGTCGACTGGTCTGTCGCTATACTGCCAGTGATCATTCTTTGGAATGTCCAGATGCACAGGACTTTAAAGATCATGGCGAACGTGGTTATGGGCATTGGCGCATTGTAGGTCTCGACCTGGTACGTGGAGACTCTCACTAACACATGGCAGGGCATCAGTGGCAACTATTATTCGCCTTCCATACTCACCTGCATATTCTCAACCTTCGAACCAACTCCGTAAGTTCATCTACACAGGTATCATACTTTTGACTAACCTATTCAGACGGCATCGGCAATATCATCCTTTGGACGATTGTGGAGTGCAGTCTCGGTATCATCGCCGGATCAATGCCCATGCTCCGAAAGCTCTTCAAAGCTCTGCGGAAAGACGACAGTTCATACGCCAGAGGGACCGACGATATCAATCTCGTCACCATTGGCCAGGTTCGTGGGAAGCATCATCCGATCTATGACGGGGACGTCAGAGCAACGGTTGCTGCGGGAGAAGATCGAGAGAGCGATAGGGACGATGAGAGCACAAGGCAGATAATCAGAGTCACAAAAGAGTTTGAGCAGACATCTGTCATAGAGAATCCTCCGTCTCGATATTAGTTACTGAAATCTCGACAATACAAAAACAGGTAAATAACATGCACTTATTCATATATCATGAACATACTTAACTGTTACCCTTCAAAACCCAAGTCGTAGGCATGCATTCCGTGTTACAATCTATTTACTTGCCGTTCTTTATCACAGACTTGATCACCAGCTTAGCCTTTGCTCCCGCTTTGCTACCCTTGATTTTCACCGTCGTCGCGGGTTTCTTCTGGCCCTGCTTTGCGTTAAGTTAAGCTTGACCCTTTTTCACTACCGCCACTTTCCGTTTCTGTTTTTTCTTCTTCTTCTTATTCTTTATGTTGTTTTTCATGCTGCTCTCCACATTTTGCTTCTTACTTGGTACCGCTGTTTTGACCAATGGCTGTTTATTGCTAGATGTGGCAGATGTTAGTGACTTCTTGGTACTTAGGTTGTTACCTTGCTTCGCTACCCCATCGAGTACTTTTTTCTTCTTCTTCTTCTTCTTCTTTTCTTGTTCGACTTTTACGATTTCGTTCTTTGTACAAGTCCCTGACTTATTAGCAGGGTCTATAGTTTCTGGTCTTTTTGAAGGCAACAATGATGTTGAGCTCAAGTTTACTCCCAGCTGCTGGGTAGTCAGCATGTTAGAGAAAGTCCCTCTCTTTCTGTTTCACTCTTTAGATGTATTTTACCTGTACAGTGGGTTTCAGTGTTTTAGTTTGGCGCCATGGCAACTCGATATCTAGGTTTCCGAATGTCTTTTTCCAGAGCGACGAGTTATCGTATGGCCATATCTGATATATAAAGTCGATCGCGGCTTCGATGAATGGGTGAGCTATGTCAATCCTGCCCACGGCGCGATTCCCCATAGTACCCTTGATAATAGGCTCTTCATATAGCTGATAAAACGTTTGTCCTGAAGGGTGGAAGAAGAGAGGCGGAGGGTGCGAAAGCACAGTAACCAAGTCACCTTGAGAGACAAACCATGCGAAGATAATAGATGCCCCGTGGATGTATCTTGCAGGGGCTTGTGTCTGAGGACTCGGATCACTACGATATAACAGTGGACCGAGGGCGGTTGTCAATGTCTGAAATTCATGAGCATCGGCCCATTGCTGGGCCTGTTCACGAAGCATGCCGCTCCAGAATACCTGGCGATTGGGAATACAGGCTTCCTGGAATCTTGACAAGATGTTATCGGCCTCTTTGTCAGTGAGCCAACGGCGAATAAGCTGTCGGATTGCATCAGGAGGTTGATTTGTGCCAAAGCTCACGCCACGAATTGGCATGGAGGCTTGTCCACGGGCGAGACTGTTACTAGAAATCGGCGCCATCATCATTTTATTAGATGCTCTGATGAAGTTGCCTTGTCGCAAGCAAGGTGGTGTTGACCAACTAGTAAGCTTCCAGCGATATAATATTCGTCATAGTGACGAATACGTGAAGCTAGCTCTGCTAAGCACTTAGCAGGCAGCACAGAGATAGCTAACATAAATTGCAGATAGCAGCATGCGACTTGGTGCTACGTAGACCAGTTATTGATGCACAAGGAAGAAATAGCTGACATGCAAAAAAGTGACCGGCACATTATCGAAATGTCTAAAAAAAAAGAAGTTCCTGTGTTGTACAGGCGGCGACTCTCCCGCCGGGAATTGAACCCGGGTCTCAAGCGTGACAAGCTTGCATACTGACCACTATACTACGGAAGACGAAACAGGCTTAACCTGCTGTAGTGAGAGGATTCGATGGGAGATTGGACGGAGATAGGGTATATACAGGTCACTGAGCTTGATCCTCACTGCATTCAGCTGTGCAGGGTATTAATCGAAACGCACAGCAACCTCATCATTGCTCGGCTCAATAGTGCATTCATTGCCTGTTTCTAATCTGAAGGTATATATCTGCATTTATGACAAATTTCCTAAATGAAGGCCCGACAGACCAACATCCCAGGTTCCAAATATGCTCCTGCAATGGTCAGCAATCAGCATTCTCATTTGTGCTCAGAGAACAAACATACCTTGGCCAAATCCACAAGATCAACAGTTCCATTAATCGGATCTTGTTTCAACGCACCTTCCAGCGCATACGGCCACTCGCACCGGATATACATTGACATATCAGCCAACCACGCCATGCGCTCTTGAAGCTGCGGGAACTGCACCACGAGATCGCGGAATGCAGGCCAGAGGACAAAGTCGGCCATGCTGATATGAGGCGTGAAGAGCTGATTTGTACTACCAGTGTCAGTAAACATCGTACTTGAAGGGATTGGAGAGTCTCACGTCGGTCTTATCCATTCTGGCATCGCAGCGTATGTTTCCGGCGACGGATCGATCATCCATCGCATCATGTACCAAAAGACATTCATTGATGCAAAGCAGGTAAAGTCATATCCTAGGCCAACCATCAGCTTCCACGACAGCCAATTGGCAAGGTATGTTGATTACCCTGACATTTCACGCTGTGCACCATGCGAGCAGCCCACTGCGACAACAAACACGACCTGTCAAACTGATCCTGATCGTACAATGCCGCAATATTTGGATAATCTCCGATCACGCGATTCGCAGGCTCGCCTTTCTCGAGAAGGCTCGTGGCCTTTTGATATATGTCGCCGAATGCATTGCTCATCTCTCCCGGATCCAGTTCAGTGTTGAGTGTTGTCGCAGCCCAGCTGGGCACGAAGATGTTGCGTATTTGCGCGTCCTGTATATGTCTTGGATATCCGTTAGCTCTGATACTATTCGAAAGCGCGAGGTTTCCAAAATTATTTTCGTAGTTGAGATGAATCGTGTGCTCTCTGTCTCGAAGCTCTGCGTCTCCTTCGAGGGCCGGACTATTTACAGTTGTGAAATCGGCGAGTGTGCTCTCTGCATATCCAAAGGTCCCTGAGTCTACACTTTGTGTCTTCTGTGGCATAGGTCTTGTTATCGAGGTTGAAAGGTAATAATCATCATGACTAAAAAGCGGCTGAAAAAATAAACTCGTGGCCTCTGTCTGGTGTGCGATTATTATTTCGTTATCTTGTTGATGAACCAGGGAAGGTAAGTCGTTGGGTAGAGAATTATTTGTCGAGATTATCGCTGATTGAGAGTATGAGAGCTGTGATGGGTAGAGTGGTATGCCCTTAGCGCTATCTAAAAGCGACTGTGAGAATTTGTCAGTATCGAACATAGGACGGCCTTAGTATCTTGATTCTCACTGGAGTGTTTGGTTGTGTAAAATCGATTAACATTTCGGTAGATGTGTAACTAGGCGTAGAGACTGTGGAGAGATTTGCTGTGTAAGTATTCCCTGATGCCGACCCTATGGCTATGCACGACTCACTATCTGGCGAAGACTCTTGCTTCATACTCGAGCTGTCTGCACTGAAGGACTCGAAGCCGTCCGCTGGAAAGGAAGGCGAAGTGCCATTATCAACCTCGTCTAGTATTGGATCGTTCAATATGCTAGAAAGGCGACTATCGTCCACTTCGTCTGTCCTCAGATTGGCGGTACTGTCGCTTTTCAGCAGCTCGGATATCTCGGATGGTTGTTTCTCGTCCTCCAGCAACTCCGACACGGCACCTCTCAATTGAGCAGAGCCATTGGCCATCTGTCTCATCAAAAGCTTTGCAGCTGCCAGTTCGTCTTGGAGCTTTTGGTTCGCCTGCTGTAGACCCCTGACCCGTAATTCCCTGATGTCGGAGTCGTATACGCATTCTCGGTCGTTTTTCGAACAGCTGATGCAAACTGGTTTTTGTCCATTGCACTGCAGCGGATTAATCAACTGAATTTCCAACAAGTCCTGAGCAAACCCACCTTTGCCTTTCTTTTTCGGCATTCTAAGCATGCTGACTTGATGATCGCCGAGCGCTTCGACACAGCTCGCTCGGTGAGAGGTCCTAGGGGAGTTGCCCCCTTCTTCACAGGAGCAGCCCTGATAGGCCTGTATGGCAGTGCCATGGATGAGTTCGTATCGAGGCGTTACTAAATCGTTTGTCTCTTCTAATTGAGCATGGTGTTGTTCAACCTTGCAAACTGGAAAAACATATCAAGAATAGATTATCAGGGTCCAAACAAATTAGGGGTCCAACGAATGATTTTAACGATTATGATGTCACAAACACGACAGGATAAGGGTACCCGAGATTATTTCCGTAGCTAGTAATTGGGCGAGAAAGTTTCAGCCGCTTCGTCATTTTGGCTGGATTATGGAGTTATGACGTGCTAATGCAAGACGAAGTATGACACTAACCAAGAATAATAATTATGTCAAAGTGGAACTACGGGGAATAACCGTGCTTGACATGTAGATCCATGGTAGAGAACCCTTTCCTTCCTTGCTCAAGACCGCTTTTTCTTGATTGACTTTCTCTCCATGGCTACGGCACCAATAATACTCAGAAGCGCCAATGCCAATGGGATATAGAGCGTCTGGACTACCGCGTTCTCGTAGCCAGACAACACACTCTTCAACCTCTCGGGACCAATTGACTCTCTCAGCTTGGACAGACCCGCTTCTTGAATATGTGTAGTGTTTGTACCCGGCGCAGCATCTTGGATCTCCTTTGACAAGCGATCCTGGAATAACGTTGCAGAGGCGCAGAATCACAAGGCAGAGCCCATTCCTGCACCGAAAGTGATGACTGCACCTCCAAGAGATACGTCTTCGATAGGGAGGACGGCTTGTAAGGCTACCTGTGGACCTTGAAGACCGAGACCGACTGCTAAGCCGAGAAAGGTGAGGAGACCAACGGCTTTGGCGATTTGTTCTTCGAGATCGAGAGTTGTGAGGAGACCGGATGCAATGGGTGTCAGGACGCTTGTGGCCAACATGAATGCTGGGGCTGTCAGTACTGTTTGGAAGAGCTGGGGGTGACTTACGATAATAGTATCCGATCCATGTAGTTCCAACGCCAGAGATGATGAAGGCGATAGCCAGACCTCCGACCATTGGAAGAGCCAGCAGACCTGCTTTTGTAGGTGAATACCCGCGTACGCCTTGGAAGTATATAGACATGTAGTACTCAGTCACCGCCAAAACTCCCTCGCAGCACGCCCCGTACCACATTCCTGCGATGATACTCCTCTGCTTCAGGATCCTAGGCGACAAAAGAGCACTATCGCCTTGCCGATACTGCAAGTATCCAAATGCCACGAACAGAAGAGCGCAAACAACGAGAGGAACAATAATCTGCCAGGTTCCCCAGCCAAACTTTGTGCCTCCCCATTGCAGCGCCATAAGAAGAAATGTAATAGCCGGTACAGCCAACAGCGTGCCAAAGAAATCAACCTTTTTAACCTTCTCCTTCAGCGTAAGAACAGGCGCATCAATACGCGGAGGCTGTTCATGAACTCCATAAGCCGTCAACACAAGACACATAACGCCCAGCGGCAAATTAACACCAAAACAAGCCCTCCACGAAAACGTATCTATCAACGCACCACCAATCGTAGGCGCAGTGATAAGCCCAACACTCTGAATGGAGCCAAAGAAACTATTAGTAATAGCTTGCTTCGATAATGGAAAACATTGACGTAAGAGTTTGAACAAGCCGCCATTAATGGCGCCGCGACCTAAACCGCTGACTGCGCGGCCGAGAATGAAGATAGCGGAGGATGGTGCGAGAGTACAGATTAGAGAGCCGATTTCGAATGTGGCGATGCCGATTAGGAAGACGGCTTTGATGGAGAAGAGGGTGTATATTTGGCCGAAGCTGGGGAGGTTAGTGCAGGAGTGGTGAGGGATTGGGGTACGTACAAGAAGACGAAGGCGCTGAGGGTCATGCCACTGGAGTAATGTTAGAGTTGAGATCTTGGAGGGGAAGGGTGGATGGCTTACTATGCAGCTGAGTACCATCCGATATCTGAGATGGTCTGGAATTCATCTGTGATGCTTGGGACAGCGACGGCGACAATAGTAAGGTCCTGTAAAAGTCCGTCGTTAATGGGCCATCACTGGTGGGGATATGGGGTAAATTACAAGTCCGCTGAGGAAGCATGCGATTGCCATTGAAGCCATGGTCGACCATAGCTTCGGTCCAGTCGGATAAACTGCGTTGTCCTCATCATCGCGAGGCTCTTCAATCTCCAAAGTGGAGGTCGGCCTGGGCTGTGGAGTGGCGTCGTTCACTTCCATGGCCGCAGGGTTCACAGATGGTAGTTCAGTCAGTACTTCAGAAGCCATGGCCGTGTACTGCAAGACGATAAGAACTTCAATTCGCAAGAACTGTGTGACCAAAAATGCAGTTGGAAGACACAGCGATAAAGAGTTTATATTTTATCATGAAGTGAGAGATCTTCAATGTCGAGATGCACTTATTGCTGACGGCCGCGTTTAAGCTTACACCATCTTCACCGGCTAAATGGCTTCATGACGTGGTTTGGGGGAGACGGAGTGTCTTGATTGATGGAATTGTGAAGACCACTGATCTTGGATCTAGCCGCTGACGAACTGCTTCATCTGGTCTATAGATTGCACAAAGTGGTGCATAAGCAGAACGTGACCCATGAGGCGGCTGTTCACAATCCACATGGGTTTTGAAGTCAACCAGCGATGCCATCTCCATATTGGGGACAGTATAAGCTGGCTTACTGGTAGTTGGTCTTCCCCCGGGCTCGCACCAACGGATATCCTCAGACCAGTGGACCAGTGCCCTGTAACTTGAGTGAGACACTGTTGGCCTTCAGTGGGTACATCAACTGGGGCGTTTCGCGCAGTGACATGCAATACCCTAGACGATTTCCCGACCTTGACCTGATCAATCCCAGGAAGACATTAAGAAATCAGTGTGATCAGAATATCAATGACGCTGCGATAATAGACTGCTCTTTATCATGGACTGGCTCTTCTTATCTGCGCATCCTCCGCAATCGATGCTTAGACCACCATGTTCAATCAGACCAATAACGGTAATGCCGTGAAGTGGCGGGCGGAATTATGCTGACCCCGGGGGTTGGGTTGCCTGGTCAGATCAGCCCAGAAACACAATCTTAACCGGAACATCGACAGCAACCGAGAGCGACACAACGCCGTTGGCGCTTGAGTCATATCGCCAAAATGTCTCTCGACCAGAGAGTCCAGGTCTGGCTCAGCAACATCCAACAATCCACCGACGATCCATCGCCTGCACCCGAACCGTACGCCGACGTCCCGCCCAATCCCATGAAACGCCGACGAGTCGATTCACCACCTCGTGAGACCTGGCCAAATACCAAGCTGTCACCCAACGACCCGTTCTACAATGCCAAGAAGAGATGCCTCGAACTACGGGCTAGGGGAGACATGCTCGACAAAGATATAGCCAAGGAGATACGCCTCCAGGAGGCTAAAAACGACATGCTCAGGGAAAAGTTAGCCAGAATGGAGAATCGATCGCTCAAGAGACGAGCGACCGCCAGCAACCAAGTGTCCTCCGAGGTGCAGCAGCAATACTGTAACTTCATCAGCTACAGTACAGGCAAGGTTGAACGGCGGCTCATCACAGTACCCAACGTACCGGCTCTTGAGCCTTCTCCACCAACAACATCCTCTGCGCCAGGACGGGAGCAACGAGAAATAAAAGTCGAACCAGACACCGAGCCTGTATCATGGCCAGAAGTAAATCCCGAGCCTATCACCGAGCCGATCGAGAGAACAATCGTGCCTGTTCCCTATCCCAATACAACACTGATTGCTCCCCCTTCGCCGGAATGGGAACGCATACTCCGAGCAGAAGAGGAGTTGCAACGCGAGGTGAAAGCTACAATGAGGCTCGAGACTACAATGAGGATACAGGTTAGAGACAGACTCGTCGCTCGAAAAAGATCCCAATCATCAGAGTTGACGAGCCTCCTCAAATGCATCAACGACATCTACGCTGGTCGTGGTGTCCTCCCCTCAAGTGGCCGAGTCTTCATGAAGGCATGGACGGGTCCTATGCGGAAAGAAATGGCTTGGGCGCAAGGCGGATCTCAAAGCGATGTTCATTACTGCTCCAAGCGTGATAAAGCAGGCAACGCGCCCAGTCACCATTGTGTGCAAAAGGTCCTGCACCAGACTTCTCGCTGCATGGGATATGACGCTCTGCCACACGAGTGGAACATGGAGGTTGTTCACAAGGTTCTCGAGCTGTCATTCAGGGATGACAGTACCTGCAGGAAGCCTCAACTTATCGACTTCAGATGCAGGTGAGCGCATCTCCAATCTTCTCTGCTACGTTATGGGTACTAATATTATATGTTCAGCGTCGATGGTGCCATAGTTCCAGAATACCATACGAGTCACGACATCCCGCAGCCCCCCGATTTCTGCGTCTACATCGACCCAGCCAGCGACCCAACCAGCGACAATATGCCAGCCCCCATCGAGCGCTTCGAAAAGCACGTATACAGAGACATCTTCAACCACATCGACCTAAGATCTCCCCGAAACCAGCGACCGATAGCCTTCCACATCCACACCCTCCCCGAGAACACAGAGCACGAGCTCCAGCGCGTCAAAACGGCCTCCGCCGCACATCGAGGGTTCCTCAAACGCCTAGTGAGATTGAGAGAGATAGCCGATAACGGTTCAAGATACGACCTGCCCGGATTCCTCCCTGGGATCATCATCTATAAACATAACTGGTTCCTCAGCGTTTCCAAATTCGATGGGGAAAATGCAAGGTTTTATGGGATCGGGGATACAGCGACTTCCATGGGTGTTTACAAGATCGTTTATGCGCTGCAGATATTGCGGGATTGGGTCAAGACGGTTTATTGGCCTTGGCTGCAGGGGCTTTTAGTGGCGTGGCCTTTGGATTGGGATGGAATGCCTTTGTAATAGCGATTGTTTGTTTAGTGATACCCCAGATTGTCAGGATACCCTTTCTGTACTGTATTTCTCGCCTTTATTTGCTCATAGCCTTGGTCTAGGGTCTATCTACCTAGTGGAATATACAATCTCAGATACTTCTTCTCTCGTCAACACCTTACCGAACGAGAACATTACATCCGTCATGGTCTTGTCGATGATCTGCTCAATCTGCTCGTCGCTTGCGACCCCAACCTCTTTTAGTGTACTCGGCAGCCCTGTAACCTTGACAAGCCGTGCAACGCAACCCCCCGCCTCAGTCTCCTCCCATCCCAATGTCTCATTAAAGATCTTCACGATCTTGGCTTGCGCCTCAGGGTTTCGCACTTTGGTGTATCGCAACACAGGCGGCAGCATAATACAGCTCGTAATACCGTGCATGACTTTTCCAACACTACCCAGTTGATGGCCAATTGCATGACTGGCGCCCATATTGACTCTGTAAATAATAAAGCCCATGAGCGCCATGCGACTTCCGGCTTGACACTTGCTCACGCCGTGGACAAGCTCATCTTCACCTTCCTTTCCTCTCCCCAATCCTTCTTTATACTCAACCAATCCCTTCGACAAGTCCCGCAGTGCTTTCTCGCACCATTCCTGCACATCTGGATACTTTTTGCATTCGGGGTTGCATAGCGTCTCAACGCAATGATCAACAGCCCGTATCCCAGAGCTCAACCACAATTTCTCAGGCGACGTTCGCGCAACCCATGGGTCCATGAGGATTAAATCCGGCGCACCACCATCCTGAAGTGAGAAATGCTGCTTCTTACCTGCGCTGTTAGTGCAACTCGCGGTATGGTTCCATTCTCCCGCTGATAAACTCGTCGGAACGAGAATGAGCTTCACGCCCTCGGCCTTTCTCATTTTATCTTGCGGCGCAACGCCTTTGTCTTGATCAAGAAGATCTTCCATGTCCTTGTCGCCGAAGCCAGCGGGTAGAGTCGCGGACATTAGACGCGCCACTTTACAAGCGTCGGAGTAGGAGCCGCTGCCGACGCTGATGACACAGTCTATCTTATGTTCAGTGATGCGATGGGCAATATCGATGACATCGGAGTATGGGGAGTGAGAGCCGACGCCTTCTTTGACGGTAATGAGGCGGTCGCCAAGAGCTTCTTTTAGATCGGAGATGATAGACGTGTTTTTGGCGAGAGCTTTGCTGTGGACTAGAAGAATGCGCCGGGAGTTCCATTCTTTGAGCGCCGCAAGGATGTCATCTTTGCTGCGAGAGTTGAAGATTGCGTCGGAGCCTGGACGATGTCCGCCCTCGAGTTGAGGGATTCGATATGGCTTTAGTGTATCGGTCATTGTGATTCGCGCAATTGAGAGAGGGCTTTCAGAGATTATGAAGATCTATGTTACTGGAATTAAAAGCAGGTCAACTCTGGGTCGTTTGGGCCAAAGTGGATTAGTGACGTCTTGATTATGACGCTTTGCCGAGTTCCGAGCCACTATTCCCGCGTCTTTGCTGACTGTATCTCATACGCCTATATGATAAACCACTACTACAATACTTGAAAGCCTTTATGACTTTCACCTTTATACAACTTCACTCTTTCGCAAGGTGATCTCTTGATTTAGTTAACTGACGCGAATGCCATTGCTAGGTTTGCCGATAGGTGGCTCGATCATTCCATCACAGGCTGCTGGCATACAGTCGGAACTGCAAAATGAGCAGGAGACATACTGCGCTGTTGTGGCCAAGGCTTTCAGCAAGGCGCTTTTTGGAGATTTGCACAAACATTTGAGGCGTTACAAGAACGCGCTGCTTATGTGTGCTATAGGGACTCAATCACGGGTGAGACAATTCCAAATGCTTATTTTAGTTATCGCGTAACAGTCATCCAGGAGCCCTGTTTATCACTAAGTCACTGGATCCCGAACTAGCATTAGATCCTACTCAGTGAAACAGACCAAGGTCATACAGTTAGAAAACGCGGGTTGCTTGTGCAACTAGGCTATGGATACTATTTGTGGCAGACGTTGCGAATTCAAGATGCCGTGAAACCTGACATAGCCAAGTGTTCCAGTCTACAGTGCCAGCCGATAGAAAGCCCCCAAGAATACCACGAACAGCCCAGCGCAATCTTAGCACAGGTCCATTCGTCAGCACAGTGCTCCGTGAAGTTGGGGTGTTGTACAAAGACACTCAACGCCATGCGATGCAACAAATCTGGACAATTCTCCAGATTTGTGATAGATACAGCCTGGTAGCACATGCTTCAGAAAGAGGAAGAGGGCAGGGTTATGCAGCTGCATAGCCGTGTCAGATAGGTTAATATTAGAGCAATCAAGTCCTTGCAAGTCACACAGATCCTGGCGGTCTGCGATCTCATCGATTCACTGCGGCTGTGTATGCACACTGTACCTGCGTCCTAGCTAACACATATCCTTTATTAAGAGAACTATTTGAGTGTCCAGAATCACTACCTTTGGCCTCAACTCCACTAACATTCTCTGACTCACCCCTAACCATCAAGCTACTTCATGATCTTGTCTCATACCTCAACCATTCAAGCCCCGTCTTTCAGAAAAGATGACAATCGGGGATTTCTTAGACTTCGACAAGACCGAATATGCACATCGTATATCCTACTACGAGACAGACCGTCTCCGTAATACCAGATACCGTGATCCAAGACAGTGCTGCACCTGCGCGGACTCACGGCCACTGCGCCCAGATGGTCGTTACCCACGGTACATCGACGGCACTGGCTGGGGCCGCGATACGCCACGATGGGCAGAATATTGTGAGGGATGCCAGAGAGCTGAGAAAGGGTACGATATACTTCGATCAGCGATCATGGTTTGTGAACACTGGAGAAAAGTGTTTTGTAGCGGATATGGGGTTTGTTGTATGTGTTCGGATACTCGACCGCAGTCTCATGATGCTCTGTATCCGTTGTATGTTGATGGGCTTGGGTGGGTTTACGGTGCGACGAGGTGGCATTTCTACTGTCAGTTCTGCAAGGATAGGCATGTAATGGAAGCAAATACGGGAGAAGATACCTAGATCCATGGTCTCTATTGCTTTACGGAGCAGTGCCTACAATGGTAGCCTAGTATTGACATATTATCTTCGCTTCTCTTGCCTCGAGAAGCGCATGAGCTGGCAGAGATAAAGCCGGTCTATTTAAATCTAAATGCTTACCTGTATATCCTATGTTTAGCAGCCGAACCCGACCAGTAAAAGTCATCATCAAGTAATGGAACGCTCACACCATACATCTCCTTGACCCTGAAACGCCTAGAAACCGAGAACGGCGCATCATTCCACAATTCAGGATCACCCTGCTTCCATGGCAGATGAATATCAAACCTATCTAAATGTCCCATCACCAACAGCGGTGCAAGCAAGTCTTTCTCCCTTTCCACAAACTGTCCTCTCCTATCACCGGACAGCCAGACCACAATCCGCAGCGTCCGCAGATGCGACAGTTTGACGAGTTCAGTGCAGACATCGTTCCACAGCGTTTCAGTCTCGGGCGCTGGGACATCCAGCGTAGTGTCCCATGCTTGAGGGTGGCTGTCATAGTACTGACTCACACCAGCATAGAGATGCCAGCCGACTTCGATGTGTCGCATGGAAGCAATGTGCTGCTTGGGAAGTATAGCGTCCAGCGATGTAAGCGCTGCCTTGTAACTGGTTGCGCCGAAGCCAAAGCAGAAGGTGTTGTCGGAGTACAGGCATGAGATGGACTCCATATATCTTAGCAAAGTTAGTGTTGCTTGTTAATCAAACTGGAGGAATGCATACGCTGCGCGACAAACAAGTGGGATTTTCAAGAGTCCTCTCTGCGGCAGCCACTGATACCCTTCTGACTCGAACATATGTTGCCTCATTCTGCCACGGTGCGCGGTGAGATGCACCTTATGATTTGCCATGACAAGGCGCCAAATCTGCATCCGCACCTCTAGCGGCAATTTGCGAAACAACAATGACTTCGATTGCGCCTGGTAAAGCAAGTCGATGGTAGGAAGCTTTTCTTCTAGCGATCGCGTATAAGGCACACTCCAGGTGCTAGTGTCATGGACTTTAGTTCCTCTCCTTTGTCTACGTGCGTAAAAGGATACAGCTTCCTGTGCATCTCCTCAATCTCGCGCGGCGTCAGAGGTTCTTTCGGAAGTTTGGCGCCGCGATATTTGTACTTGGTATCGGTTTTTCTACAGAGTAGCCGTATCAAAAAGTCCATGGTGCCGGTATACGGTGGTTTTCAACTTGAATCGGGTGGGGAGGAAGTATCGTCTTGCTGTTCTTGAGAGTGTTGAGGTATGTAGATTGGTGGCAAATGGGTAGTTGAGAAATAAATAAATAAGGGCACTGTCATTTTATACATCAGTCTACTATAATTGGTGATGGGCGGCCTCTGACTTTGTAAGATCTAATGCCTGACGATGCAGGAGGCAAGAAAAACGCCCAGTTCATTGACATCAGAGTCATCCTTGTAGCTGAAAAGCCTTGGGCTGACTGGAGGCCGGCGCTTATCTCGGCTTCGGCAGGCTAGTGTCAGATAATGGTTCCGCGCCTCGGACCGTCATTCCGCCCTGCATCAGTCCGGGGTATGCACTCCCAAATAGTCCTTGCCTAGTCGGTTTGCGTGTAAGAGGCATGCGTTGCATAGTGGAATTATAAGAGCTAACTCTAAGTATCCTCGCGGTAGCTGGCCCTGAACCACGCTGTAAACTGTTACCGAATGGGTTAAGGAGGGTGCTGCTCCCGAGGCTCTGAAAGTACTGATGACATCGATACTATCTACCATTAGCCTCTTCATCCTCTCTAGTCCGAAAAGAATTCGTCACAGGACTGCACATACAATCAGGAGTCACTTTAGACATATAACTTTAAACCTACCTGCCCTAGTTAGCTATTCTCCAACATCGAGGTTTCAACTATAGTTTTAATAGACAGGGAGACAACTCCCTTTGTTCTCAACTTCATCACAAATATCGCAATCCATTATGCAACGTAAGAGCCCGCTGTTTAACCCTGTATAACTGCTCATAATCCGACCTTCCTATTCCTGACTAAGCGGGATCGACACACTTTCACCGCCTTAAGAAAAGCTAAGACCATGTTGTGATCCTTCGTACAAAATCACTGGGTCAAATACGTTTAGAAACGTAAAGACCCCTACATTAATTAGGGCCTAAGGCAATAGGGCTTATGTGCTGTTTCATAGATCGTAACACAACAATGGTTTCATTCTTCTTCATCAATCATGATTCCCCACGCACAGCGACGACCTACCGCTTCGATCAACACTGCACCTCCAGAACTTCTCCATCGTATATTTAATTTTCTGCTCCATGCCAGGGATCCAGAGGAACCGAAGGTTGCTCACGTTGATGACATTCGCTCTCTTCGCTTAACATGCCGATGTTTCTGCCAATGGGCCTCACCGCTGCTCATCCCCGAAATAAGTGTCTATATGACTGAGAAGTCTCTGGAGCGCCTGGAAAATGTTTCTCAGCACCAATTGATCAGATCTGGGGTACGCAGCGTTCACGTCAAGCTCCCATACTATGAACAACGAATGGCGGCCGATCTCACCCACTTTGCCTATTCTCACATCGCAGGTATGAGGAATCATCTTGACCACCTGAAAGATGTAATCTCCGGTGAAAGGCATAAGAGGCTGCCCTCCAAAGTGCCCGATTGGGTCAATTGCGAAGCAGTTGAGTTGGGCAAGAATATGATTTCTGCTTGGAACTCCGTTTATACCGCGGATCCAGGAAATCCGCAGCAGGACTCGGATGAACATATGAAGTATCGGAAGATCCTAACAGATGCCCATCGTGAATATCAGCTTCTGTTTGAAGCGCAACAGCGAATGCGAGAGAACGGGACATTCCTCTCCACCATTGCATCCGCCATGGCGAAAATGCCTCATGCCGATAGGCTAGAAATCACTGATGGCGAAGACGCCGTTTTGAGAGATGCCTACCTCATCGACCGAGACTACCGCACATCTCTAAGAGAAGTCATGCTGAGACCGCATACCTGGTCAGATGCTTCAAATCTCTACCCCGACCCTGCTTTCGAACCACCAATAGAGTTCTTACACAAGGCTCCAGCTGCGATACACAGAGCGGGAGTGACCTTCCGAGAGATGAAACTTCAGTGCTCTTCGCCATGTAGCTACGCCAAGCTCTCCATGTCTCCCTCTGAGCGAGTTTCACTCATCGAATCGCTTCAGAACTTGCAAACGCTCACTCTTGACGCAGTCAAAGGTTCCATGACGGGATGGTTTTTTGACCATCAAGAAGATGCGATGGACTTGGTTTCAGATTACCTCTCGGCACTCCTCCAGTCTTCTGGTCTCGAGAATCTCAGCGTTTCGTTTTTCAACTTGCGCAGTCTAAATGAACTCCTCGCTGGAGCACATAACAAGTCTCTAAAGCGACTACATCTGGCCGGCGTTAGGTTAAGCGCTGGCAAACTTGGAGAATACTTGGCCCGTGTCCAAGGTCCATGTGATGTTGTCTTGGAACACGTGGAAATACTTGGCGGGAGGTGGGCAGACGAAGCTGATGAGCTGCGGGGTCTATCAAGAGCATCGACTACCGTTGTTAAGCCTTTTGGCGATGAGTTCCGCCGCGGGCGGGCTACAAACGTGTGCAATGCTGAGGAGGAGAGGATGCTTAACGATTACCTCCAGAGGGCAAGTTCTGTCAATCCTCTCAGGAATAGGCATATTTGAAGTTGGCTTAAAACATTCAGGCCTATACACATGGCAAGGAACACGTAATCTAGTTCAAAGTGGATAATCTGGCTTATTATATTCTAAAGATATATGTTCCTACTTCCGGGTCGCTGGAAGCAGGCAGGTTAAGTAGTAAAAAGCTGAACTCGCTTTACCCCTCATCCCAATTCATGAAACTATCACAAAAATGCAGATGCTAAAAGCTCCTCTGAGATCATCATATTAGCCTCTGCGTTGCCAGTCTCGGTGTCAGTGCACTTACGTGAGTGTTTCTTAGCCTAGTTTGTTACTTGGCCCTCTGGAGGAATCCTCAACCGCTCTCATCTTGTCGGCCGGTGCGCAAGTTGTGAGTGTTGCGAAAACTCAGATAGGTGATCCAAAGCGCTAGGATAGCTACCAAGAGTGACGGAATGCTGGTCGCCAGAGCAATGACAGCGGCAGGGGGAAGAGAAGTCATCTTTGAACGGGTGGGGTGATTGACTTCTCCTGGTTGGCCCTGTAATATGGATTGGTCGATGAGCTGGATGTGATGCGTGGGTAATGATAGCAATTGATTTGTCGGTGTGATGAATGCAATGAATGTGAATTGAGCAAGACAACGAGAGGGCTGATATGTCCTCTTTTAAGCACAACCGCACCTCGTAAGAGAATGAATGCCAACAGGTGCTTTGGCCTTTCATGTCGAGGCTCAGTGGCTGTGATCAGTCCCTCTGATGGTCATTGCGACAGTTCCGTTATTGGTAGGACCTTCGTGGTACCTGACACTTGGCAACAGATCCGTGATATCCTTGACATTGGACTGTTGTTGATGGTTTCTAAAGGTCTTGTTGCGCTGTTGCGCCATTGGCTAAGCTGACTTTCTGTCTTACTCTGACGTCTGGTCCTCAGCTTGGCCTTTTATCCCCTGCATTGCGACGGTTTCGCTATTGGCTGGATCTTCGTTTGCCTCACAATCCAGCTGGTCTGTGGTATCCCTCACTTTGGACTGACGTTGGCCGTCTGGTCCGCCCCAAAGTGAGACAGTTTTCATTGCGCTATTTCGCTATTGGTTGTCCTGTGTGGCTTTGCGTGTCCCTCCTTGATCCCGGATCCCCTGCATTGCGACGGTTTCGCTATTGGCCAATCTGCCTACCATCGAAGGGCATTTCGGCCTTAGGCACACCAGCTTCAGGTATAACAAGGCTCTGCTTATTATGACTGCCTTTCCCCTCTGTGACTTCATTGATGCCATCTAAATTATCAAGTTCTGCCTGCCAGAATAATCTCTCGGTTATACTAAATCGCAACCAAAAAGGTTTACCATGCCAGTCTCCACGCTCAGTTGCCCGCCGTGTCGTAAAGCCAAGAAAAAGGTAGGAGGTTCAACCTCCTCATCCCTACAAGTCCATGCTAACATGTGTCTGGAACAAGTGCAACCTGGGGGATGCTGGCTCACAGACCCCTTGTCAACGATGCAACGAGAAAGGATTGCAGAGTGAATGCACAGGATTTGTGCTTACTGAAAGAGCGCAGGCCCGCAAAAGGAAAATTGCAGCAACCGACATCGATGATGATAAGCCCAGCGAATCTTTGTAAGTTCTGGGTTATTTTGGCTTTTATTTAGACTTTAAACTGACATAGAAAGACTGCTAGAAGTATTTTGGCTGGAGAGGTTGACGCAATACTCAAAGTCTGCACTCGCCATTCACCAGGAAACATGCGATCGACTCGACCTACCTTATGATGACTATTACGGTGGCGATGATGTTTATGAAGTGCTCGAACAAATTGAAGAGAATCGAGCACTAGTTAGATCTAAAATCGAAGCTTGTGAAAGTAATTCGTCTTTAGCGGCTTTGCATTACTTTTTATCGAAGTCTTCAAGCACTTACTACTCCTGGGAAGGAGGATCTGCATCAGGCTTTGCGGTTTGGTTTGCCGGCGAGACAGAAACTACATCCTCCAAACCCCCGCCTGATCAGCAAGCCAGCCTTGCACTTTATGCCCTCAAATTGCAAGAATGTCGACTCCTCGAGAATTGGCGTCTACTGTGGCAAGAGGCTGAGCTGTCATCTTATGCCCAGAAGTACAGTGAAGTGATGCAGCACCTGAGGACTATTGAAAATTGCACAGTGCTGCCATTACCTTGGACACACAATCTACTATCACTAATTGAAGGGAGAGAAGAAAGGGAACGACTAATCTCAAGTCTCCAAGCCACAGAGGAGAAGGATATGTTTGGCCGCTCCCTGCTACACCTGGCCCTTGATCTGGGTGTAGGTGACGACGCTGTACACCTGCTCAGTAGTGTCGCTAATGAGCCCGACATCTGGGGTCGTCTTCCTATACACATCGCTTCCTTCACTGGCTGTATTGACTTAGCCACACGTTTGATCTACGGCCAGGCAGAAATTCAAATGAAGGGTGGGATGTGTTTGCAACCTCTCCACTATGCTAGTGCCGCTGGGCATTTGGACATTGTGAATCTGTTGATTGGCAAAGTTAAAATTGACCCAAAGGACCAGTATGGCAAGACGCCTCTCATCTTTGCTGCCAAGAACGGACATGTAGCAACAGCTACTATGCTTCTTGAGAATGGGGCTAATATTGAAATGCATAATACGCTTGGGTGGACACCACTGCTGCATGCTATCGCTCGTGGACGAGTGGGCATTGTTGACTTACTCCTTCGTAAGGGCGCACGGGTCAAGCCAATGATGGAGACTAAATATTTTATGTCACACCTTTTAACGGAAAGACATCTTGGCGTCGTCAAGCTGCTTCTTGAACATGGGGCAGTGGAGGAGTTTCATCGTTTCAGTAACGAAAGTCTTCTACGTTGGGCTGCCAAGATGCAAGATCACCACCTCGCTCGTCAACTGGTCCTCCACGAAGTCATTCGAACACCCATCGCTACCAACGGTATCGCTGCGCTTTCGTATGCCGCTGAAGCCGGAAATCACGAAATCGTGGTGGAACTACTCGAAAACGGAATGAACCCTAACGAAAGGTGCAGCGGTCGTGAACTACCGTTGTCATACGCCGTCGTGGGAGGACACGTGAGTGTCACGAAAGAGCTACTCAAACACAACGCCAACCCGAATGCAAGATCTGGTATAGATATGGAGGGTCAAATGGTTATCGTCAAAGCATATGAGCTACGGAATCCGGATATCATTGACCATCTTGTTGCTTGGGGCGCGGATATCAGCGCTATCGATTCTCGTGGCTCGATGCCAACGTCACCAGCTTTTCTAGATGGGTATCTAGGCGCTGCTGAAATTCCATAATAGGGTGCCAAATCCCAATGTTTGTGATAGTTACAATAAGATGCTGCTTGGGATTGCGCAGGAGAGGGAAAACACAGTGGTCGCAGATTATCTGTAAAGTCTCCCTGGTATAGTATGAGTATAGCAGGAGTAGTTGTTAGAATACATGTCTCTCTCAAAGAAGCGGCCTGAACAACTGTTGCAGAGAGCGAGGCAGCGAGGAATGGCTCTACTCTTACAGGCAATATGCACACCTCATTGGCGGAATCCTAACGCTGCATCCAAGAGGTTTACCATCATAGATATATTCCTCTCGGGCGACTTCGTTGCCCTCCATGTCTTTTCTGAGGAACTTGACCTGTCTTCTGTAACTGACGGTACCATCCTTCTCGGATATGGCTTGCAACTCGTGATTTACCGGAATAGCAAAATAACGCTTCTCCTCCAGCGGTACAGCCGCACTCACCAGCCCGGCAGTATCATCAAGTGATATATCATGTTCCAGCTCAATGAGACGTCATCCAACTCTATACAGAGTCCCCACGTCAAACAAGCCTTCTTTGGCCACTCCAAGGTGCGCCAATAAGGATAATGCCATGCGACAAATTTTCAGGTCTCGACATTCGAGGACGATGAAGAACAGCATCGGTAACCAGCTCATTTCGAAGCTGAAGCTTGATTGTGGTATACGTTGATGACCTGGTGCTGTTGATATGACAAACGCTTCTTCTGCCAAGTTTACAGCATCGCGGAAGATGTCGAGATGCTGATCCCGCCACATTTCTATATGCGACTGTTGCTTTTGGATGTAAATCTTGGCCATTTTGTGCTTGAATCTCATTCCGCATATCGCGTATTTATCCGATGTCGCAGATGGGGGCAGTACACACTCTAGACGATCCATTTTGGAATCCCAGTCATCTAGCAATGAAGCCAGCTCAACCCTATAATCATTACCGTCGTACAAGCACCCCATGGTCCGAATCATCAGATCATCGATCACTGTCTGCGTTTCCCGGCTATCGCTAAACTCTGAAGGCATTGGTGTCTCGAATCCGATAAGCTGCGGGAGGCGCGTCGGTGGTCTGGCACCGCCAAAGAAAAACGGCGTTATACTCATTCGTCGGAATATTGGAACAAGATACTGGCACATCCATTCCGGACGCGAAGAGTTGTTCAGCATCATGATACCATACCGGCAGTGCTGCATCGCGGCGTCAAATTCTCCCTGTAGATACTCTATACAAATGAAGAGTACACAGAGAACAAGAATCATTTGCTCATCACTAGCAGACTTGACATGCTTTATAGCCGCATTATAGTGATGAACAGCAAACGTGCTACCACCAAATCTGCCGAGTAATCCGAGAGCCTCTAGCGAATTCTTCATAGAGAGAGCTAATTGACAGAACGGCATGACGCATGGTGGTCTCAAAGTGGCTGAACTACATGACCAGATGCGTCCAGAAGTAAAAGTCGGTAGGGCCCGATAGGACTGGTCCGACCATTTCTGTAAAGAACTAGAACGCTCTGCCTTCTCTCTGATCACGAGCGGATAGTTGGTTTGGGCGGTAGCACGTCAGGCTAGCTGTGCCTTGGTAGCCACCACAGACGCGGCGAGACGATAAGCAGCGCTTACATGAGGGCTTGGCTTCGTCGCATTTGACCTTCCGGGCTCTTAGTGAGTTGTTAGTACCAAGTTCACCGGGGGAGTTAGGGCAACGTACTTGCATGTTCGGCAGCCCGTCTTGACGTGGTGGCGAGGGTTTGGTAGAGGCATACGTGGGGCTGTACCGAAGAATTGTACGTTGTATATTGTAAGTATCGAGTCGAGCGTGCAGCTCGTTGGCTTTGAAGAGAAGATAATTTGCCGTGGCAGGATGATAAAAGGACCCCAGTTCGTTTCAGTGACACAGAACGCGTGGATCGGCATCCTGCAATGACGATCACGTAGTGGGGCTGTTCCGAGCTTTTTGACCAATAGTAGTGTGGACTGGGTGCCGGTTTGTGGACGAGACAAGCTGCTGTGAGGCATTCCTATTCCTGTCAAGATATATAAACATTCTAAAGTAGAGTCATGATTACTCCATGAAGGAAGTAATAGCTAGCACTAATCATCTACCTTTTCGTTCTGTTTCAGCTCCTCCACTTTCTTCCATCCAGACTCAAATCCCTCCCCTCGCACATAAAGCTCATCTTCATCAACGTCCGCCAAGGCCATATCATGAAGAACATCCTTGATATCCCGCACCCGCTCATCGATACCCCTAACAACCTTCAAATTCGGCAACTTGTCATCCCTCTTCGCCAAGAACTCATCAATATGCTCGTCAACATCTGGATTTTCACCCCGCGTATAACCATAGAGGCAGAGATACTCTAGAGAAGGCGGTAACATGTCTACCAGTCGGAACGGGGCAGGTTTCTCAAGTCGATATGGCGGTTCCTTGAATCCATACTGATCGTATCCACCGAGGTATTCCCCTAGGAGTGGCGCGATGCCGATGCTCAGATGCGTGAGGCGAGGACAATCGCGTAGTGACCCGATGGTCGGTGTGTACTCTTTGCCACTGTCCATCTTGTTTCCAGTACTGATCTTTTTATCCAAGGCCAGTCGATCTCGTCCATACAGATCAAGCTGGTCCTTTATCTCCCAATCCGTCCCGTCATCTTCCTCCTCATAGTTCCTGCCAACATCCCTGTCCACCGCATTTACCCCAGCTCCTACATCAATGTCAAGATCCAACACTCTCAACGAGTTTCTATGCGCAGAAAGTGCCCTTGCAATGTAAAACGGTTCACTAGATGTATCTGCACCGTCAAGGGTCCACAGACCACCAATCGACACCTTAAATTCTTCAAGCTCCTTGGGAATTGAGATCATGACAGTCAGGAAGCTAGGAGAAATATCACAACGGGTGATTTCCAGTCTCTTCATATTCCCTGTCCCCGGGACGAAGAACTGGCGGTCTGTCTGATTATCCGACATCCCATCCATGGCCACTGATTCAAGAGCTGGGAGGCGATGTATCAACTGGATAGACCGGAGAATATCGCACGCGGTGTAGAACCTCTCGTCGCTTTGAGCACCAGCAAAAAAACGGACGGCCTTCAACTTCAGCAGTGGAGGATTCTTCATCTGTGCATAGTTTGCTTTGAGCATGTAGTCCACAACAGGTTGTTGGAGGTTCTCAGTAAGATATAGGGTGGAGATATTCTCGCAGAGTGAAAAGAGAAGGATTATCATGGCGATTGCAAACTCGCTCTCCTTCTGAAGTTTGAACTCATACTCGCGACACTTCCAACTAAGGATCTTGTCGACCTTAGCAGATGTTTCATCACCCAGTTGTAGGCTATGGGCATATCTTCGTAGTCTTATTTCCGGTGGATCTCCAAGTTCTTCATATCCCATTGAGGCCGGTAGTTCATCATACTCCGGTATCTTGGACGTAGAAGCATAGGTCCAGGGCGTTGCGTCGATGACAACCTCCGTGACGGCTTTTGCGCGGGATGGGTCTTCGATGTAAGATTGCAAGAGACAGTAGAGACGCTTTGTGTCTTCCTTTGAGCTAATTTGTATACGTGAGTAGTTGGGAGGGACGTATATAGATCTGCACGCGTTTGCGCGCGTTAGAATGGCATGATGAGGGAATTTGAGAAATCGGTGATTGAGAAGCGGTCGGCAGTTTGACCATCCTGAGCGGACAGGCAGGCGTATCCTTTGTATCAGCATTTTTGTTTCTAGAGGGATGCGATGGACTGTTGGTATTTACAGTGAACAGATGGTAGCAGGAGAAATAAGCTGGTAGTGTTGTTGGTATCGCTTATCTTGATAAGATAAGAAGATTATGACTCTAGATCCCCCCCGGGGAACTGGATTGAACTTAGCAAAAGGTATCCTAAACTTGTACTAAGTTGCTTAAGTCGCTTAACTATTTAGAATTAAGATCTGAAGTTTCCGCTGGGATAATAATTAAGGCCAGAGTTGGGATATGTCTCTACATTAATAGTACAAGAAGGCGTTCTAGACAGAAGATCCATCAGTCAACCAAGATATCCTTTAAGCCGCCCATCATTCCAATAAGCTTCTCCTTAGCCAGCTCTTTGTTGACCTTATTGATTCTACCCTCAATCTCACTTCGACTTCTCGATAACTCCTTTGCAACGTCTTTCCACGATAATCCATTCTTCAAGTCAAGTGCCTCATGCTTGAGATCGAAGCCAGCTTCTCGACCTTCCGCCAAGTGCACGCTCTGTAGGCTTCCATTGTGCTTGCGAATCTTGCCGCCGACTATAACAGTCTCAATTTCTCTGACACCCGCATGGCGGACAATAGCAGTCAATGGGTCATGTTCCGCTGCACAGGAGATAGAAGGAGAAGTCGTGTCAAAGATAACCAAGTCCGCCAACTTCCCCACTGCGATAGATCCAATGTCCTTATCCATGTTAATCGCCCGAGCTGCTTGAATAGTAGCCAGATTGAACGCTTTCTGCACCGTAGCCCGCATCTTCTTGGGATAGTGACCTTCAGCGAAAGTCTTGACATTCTGCATTCCTCGATCACTTGCTAGTGCCATCTGCATCTGATGCATCATGCTGACTGGTCCGCAGGAGTGACAATCGGCTCCGAGACACATCAATGGGAGATCTTCTCGAAAGGCTACTGGGTCTGCGCCTGAGGCCATGAAGATTTCAGCGTCGGGAGTTGAGACGATGTAAGTTCCGGCTTCAGTGAGGAGAGATGCTTGTTCTGGTGTTGTACCATTTCCGTGAGTAAGAAGGATATCAGGCCCAAGAAGACCGCTGGCGTGCAATTGCTCCGGCACTCGAGATTGTCCTATTTATATATGTCAGCGTCATACACCCAACAGAAAGAATTTAGGCAACACGTACCCTTTGAAACTGGCCAGTGTCTGTAGTGGCTTACAATAAGCTTCACTCCAGCCTCTTTCACATGCATAAGTGTCTCAGCAATTACATTCTCTGGTAAGAAGTGACTGTCAAAGAAGAAGCCCAACTGCACTCTCTTGTCATCTCCAAACGGGGCCTTTGCAGCAAGGGAATCCATCTGAGGCAGCAGCCAATCAGGTTGAGGAGAACGATCAAGCTCAAACGAGGACTCTGTCCATTCTGCAGCGCGTAACGGCATGACACCATGGCAGAATATGGACCTTATCCCAGATACCAAGGTCGCACCCAATGCAGCTGTGCCGTGTTCAGGGCTGGACGCGCCGTGTGCATTGTCTACGACGCATGTTGTTCCAGCGTCAAGCGCCTCAAGACATCCAGCTAGTTGGCCCCAGAAGAAATCTTCCGGTTCAAAGTTAAAGCTTTGGAAATTTGCTGGTATATCATCAGCAGTTTGCCCACCGTCTCATTTGGAAGGGCACTGACCTTCAAGCATGTAGTCCAGCATTGTAGAGTCGCCAAGTCTCCCCTTCAATTGGCTCTGCCAAACATGATGGTGAGCATTGATGAACCCAGGAGCGATAATCTTGCCATCGCAGTCGATTATTGATGCATTTTCCGGGTCAATGTCCTGTCCAATCTTGACGATGCGATCATCTTCAATCAAGACATCGGTGTCCTTAAGTGCGATGACATTGTCTTGCGCATCATGCTGCAACACAGTGCCGTTTTGGAGAAGAAGTCTAGCAGCCATAGTAATTATCAATTCAATAAATACCAAGAACAATTAATTATCAATATTAGTGTTGTGCGCGCTGACTATTATACTCCTCATCATAATCTCGGTCGTCGGTATATTCAGTGGATTATTCGGCTCTAAGGTGAAGCTCGGTGAATTCTGCTTATCAGATAAGACCAAACATCGGGTCTAGAGTTCGGGGATATCGGTAGGTGACGTATGTCCTACCCTGCACTAAGAGAAAGAACATAATATCGGGGACACTTTGCACCGCTTCCAGACATTAGTCGCAAGAGAAAGTCCAAGATTATGGTCACAGAGTGAATTGTGTATCGTATACAATTGAATATGCCAACAGACAGCATCATTGTCGTGATATGTGGGTGAAAAACGCCCATTTTGCTTACTCTTTTACACTTTTGCGCAATTGAACACACGTAGCAACGCTCATTCGCGTCGAAAGAGGGAAATGCCGCAATTCTACCGATCAAATGATAAGCTATGCTATTCTTCAATGTCAACTAACTAAAGGCATGATTTGTTTACCATGTTTACTGTGTTTAATTGTTACTGTCAACTGAGGAGAGCTGTCGAAGCCACATTCGGCGGAAGGATGAATGATTATCCGTGCGCCACTGTGGCAATTATAGCGAATTCACATTCATTGGCCCAAGCTCGAATCCCACGACCAAGGACCGTGGCAGCCAATGAATCAGCAGCATTTCACTCAGGAGCGACAACTGCCTCTCTATCCAATCGGGCAATGCCGTCTCATGCAGCAGCACGTTTCCAGCTCGATGATCACTCAGATCTGGATCATGATCTCTCTCTCGCAAGTGGGTGAACTCTCGCCCTCCCCACGGATCAAACCGTGTCAACGCCATCGTCAAAACGGCATGGCCCAGCAGCAATTTCGCAACCTTCACGTGTCGGCCAAGCCCGGCATCAAATCAAACCGGCACTTGATTTCACTCACTAGACAGAAACTGGTTAATCAACTGAGCTTGACTCAAGACTAGAAGCATTCGAAGCTTTTTCGAAGCTTGTCTAAACGAAAAACGGATTAGGTCGTATTTTCTCCCTCGACAGCAGAGCTACAGCAGTCAGCTCCGGAGTTTCTTCTCCAATTCTGCTCGTCAGTGCGCCAAGACCCCGTGGGCAGAGAATGATGAGACATTCAGGGTGAGAGTGGCCCCCTCCCCCCATCAACCCCCAGCCTTCTCAACTTCCCTTAGTCC